TGCAAATATATTGTCATACATAATGCAGTTTTTAATGATATTATGAAATTTTTTGTTATGACAGTTTGGAGGTCTCCCTGTTATGCCAGCTCAGGCAATGACTCAGCAGGTTATCTCTCCCTATTATTCTTGAAAACAACTAAAATTACGGGTTCTATTTTAATATCTTTAACATTATACACATGGTTGTGACATGCCAAAACTGATTTTTTTAATGCGGATTTCTATCGAGGTTTTTATATTTGCAAAATTATGCCATTATTTTTCTCTTAGTATTTGCAAAGCTAAGGCTTGCACTTGATCTTAAGATGCACTAGTATCATCAAGGGGCTGATACAACCCACTAAATTTATATTTTTAACTGAATTTGCTAAAATTGTTGAAGGCTACAAGGCATGCACGTCGAGTTTATGTTGGTGGACTTCCTCCAAGTGCTAATGAGCAGGTAAGTTGGTGGGTGTTGGTAATTACAATTTGTTTCTGACAGCTTTCACTCCTTTTGAGGTTAGTTGATTTCACCTTTTCTAATGTGGTTATTAGATAATCTTCCTTGTGTTATGTGCAGTCTGTGGCAATATTTTTTAACCATGTAATGTCTGCCATTGGGGGGAATACAGCCGGTCCAGGTTAGTCATAATGTATTTTTTGCTTCTATGACTGATTATAAATTGAAGTTCACGGACTCAATGCTTAGCTACTTGATTTCCAGGTGATGCAGTAGTCAATGTTTATATAAACCACGAGAAAAAGTTTGCATTTGTTGAGATGAGGTCTGTTGAAGAGGCCAGCAATGCTATGGCTCTTGATGGAATTATCCTTGAGGTACCAGTCAACTTCATTTGTATAAAAGGATCTAATACATTTATACAAACAGTTAATGCTAGATTTGTACGTACATTACAAACTTTTACTCAAAATATTTCTCACCATTTTTTGGGTCTCACTTTGGTATATGACTAAAGTTTCGACCATTTAGTCCTTACATATTTGATTCTTAATAAGAAGGGTTTCCTAGTAAGGACATGACCTTGTAGGAGTTTGGAGGTTGATGATTAAAGTTGTAGGGTCATTGGAATGCCGGGCATTTTGGGTTCCCCTAGGCAGCTAGGTGTGTGTGTGTGAGGGGGGGGGGTGCTCTGCTTTTTGAACTCTTTCTTTCTATCTTATATGTTTTGTCTTTACTTTCTTATATTTATCCTTGATTGTCATATCCTGTTGTTTTGTTCTTTGAGCTGTGGGTCTTCCATATACAACCTTACCTTTTTTAGGTAGGTGTACCATCTGCATACACCCATCCTCCCCAAGCCCAGTTCTGGGATCTTAATTAGGAAGCTGCTGTTTACTTTATAATGATAAGGATTTTGTGTAATGGTGGTGTAGCCATTTTAAGTAGGACTAAATTTTTCCTAAAAAAGGACTAAATTAAGATCCAATATAGATGAAGATATAATACCAAGATATGTAACTCGGATTCAATATAGTCATCAGCGTACGAAAATAGCCTTCTTAGTAGCTAAGTATGGATGAGAATTAAATCGAGTTGTGTTGCACCAAATTTTATGTTCTTGATGTAGTCAAGGACTGGATTGAGTAACGTTATATAGTCAAAGTTCTATAGCAGGTATTACTTATTTCTCAAGATTAAATGTTTTGGGTGTCTTTTCTGCTGTAGGGAACTCAAGTCAAGGTGAGAAGACCAACTGATTATAATCCATCTCTGGCTGCTGCTCTTGGTCCCAGCCAACCAAGTCAGGACCTAAATCTTGCAGCTGTTGGTCTAGCTCCGGGGTCATCTGCAGGGCTTGAGGGTCCTGACCGTGTCTTTGTAGGAGGCCTTCCCTATTATCTCACTGAAGCGCAGATCCGAGAGTTGCTCGAATCATTTGGACCGCTTAGAGGGTTCAATCTTGTCAAAGATAGGGAAACAGGGAATTCGAAAGGCTATGCCTTCTGTGTTTATCAAGATGTTTCTGTTACAGATATTTCTTGTGCAGCGCTTAATGGGATTAAGATGGGGGATAAGACACTCACTGTCAGACGTGCTAGCCAAGGTTCATTACAACCTAAACCAGAACAGGAGAGCATACTGTTACATGCACAACAGCAAATTGCGTTACAGGTGAATTTTTGTAACTTTTTCTCAAAATTAATGCTTGACCAAGGTACCACAGAGCAGTTTTCAACGAGTTACCTTCTGGTTTGATTGCTGACCAAGTGTCATGTCGTAGTCTACAGCCGGTCCGATTTTTAAAATGCTATTTTTGGATTTACCTGTGAAATTGCAAAAGAAAAATATTTTTTTTAAAAAAAACCATGTATACAATTATCAGTGTTTTTACAATATAAATGACTTAAGATTCAAGAAGGAGACTTCGAAGACATATTTCAAATAAGGTCCTTAACAAAAATGGGGCTGCGGCCTAATGTTTCTTTCCTTCATGCAGAGGCTCATGTTGCAACCTGGTGGATTACCCACAAAGGTGTTATGCCTAACAAATGTGGTTAATGCGGAAGAGCTCACAAACGATGAAGACTATGAGGATATATTGGAAGATATGAGAACAGAATGTGGGAAATTTGGTAATGGATTTTTTTATTGCTTGCTTATGGAATTTTATTCCATTGTTTTGTCCTATATAATGAAAGGAAAACTTTGACTGTTATTTTCTTCTTTTTTTTTGTGCATATTGTGTAGGTACCTTGGAGAAACTAGTTATCCCTCGTCCACGCCCTGATGGTGCACCTACACCTGGAGTTGGAAAGGTTTGTATTGAAACAATAAGCCCTGATGGTATACTTACAATACTCAGAATCATAAATTGGCTGTAGTTCCTTTCCCCCATTGTTAAGATTGAAAAAGCTACTTTCACCCTAGAGATGACACTAAGGTTGACACCATCAGATACAAATCACACACACTGTTTGTGAGGCACTGGCGGTGTTGACTTTGGTGTCAAGTGACTGTAGCATAACCCACCGCTTCGTTCCACCCCTGCCTAACCCTGATCACAATGAAAGAACTTCAACTTGTGGGGAGTTAAATGGCTGATTGGTACTACATACGTTCTCTGTCTTTGTAGGTTTTTCTTGAGTATGCAGATGTTGAGGGTTCTAGCAGGGCTCAGCAAGGATTGAATGGGAGAAAATTCGGAGGAAATCAAGTGGTTGCTGTGTTCTATCCGGAGAACAAGTTCTCTCAGGGAGAACTTGACGGCTAGTTTGTTCGTATTGTTTTTTTTTTCTTTTTGTATTTTACTTACGATGAAGGATTGTTTTTCCGTATTAAGTGAGACATGTTTGTAAGTTAGTTTGTCAAAAACTCGTACAAACTATCAAACCTAAGATGATTCGGAGTACTATTGTTGCAAGTTGTGGTTCTTTTCTTGCATTCTTGTATCAGAGTCCTTAATCTAACATAATGGGTATAAAACAAAGAGTAAATTTTTTAAAATTATCCTCTATAAATATATTCGAGTAACATTTATTAGTGATCCACATTAATTGAAAGACGAGAAAAAGAAAGAAAAGACGAGAAAAGATAGAAAAGTATCATTATCAAAATCAAGTCCCATTGGAGAGCAAAGCACCTCAATTTCAGTTTGAATCTGAAAGCACTCTTTCTTGGGTTCAAAATCACCCTTATTCTCACTTTCACTTTTATAAAGGGCTTCAAAGTGATGCTCATTCTCCAGTTGAGTTTGAAGAGCATAAATGGCTACTTTGAGGTCCACTTGTCCTTTGTAAGGTTTAGTTTAAGTAGTATCCACCTCAGACAATTTTTGGTCCATTTTTTCGTACAGACTTTCAATCTTTTGGTTTAAACCATTATGGAAAAGGGGCTGATTCTGGGAAAACCCAGATTCAAAACAAGGAGAAAAATCAGTTCCCAAGTCCTCTTGGATATAATCTGAAGCAAGAGAATGATGCCCATAAGAATCACAAGTATTCTTAGAATAAAGTGCCCAAATTTGATCATGAAAAACAGCTTGAGGAGAATAGAAATGTTCCAAATCAGATTGATAAGAACCAAGCCATACTCCAAACTGAGTATTATTTTGAAAATTTGAATGTTGGTTCAATTTGAAATCAGAAAACTCCACACATTGGTGATAAAACCAGCACTCAAATCAGTTTGTTGGAGATAAGAGTATGCTTGAGGAGTATGTGTCCTAAACCACAACTCCCACACTAAAGACATATCCCTCTCTCATCCAAAAACTTTTTAAGCAGGACATTAAACATTGATATTTGGAATGAAGAGAGCTCAAAGTGCAATAGTTCAAATTCTGGTTTGTTATTAATTCATTAATGATGTCTACCAAAGCAAAATGTAGGCTTAGACCAAGTCATTCATTCTTTAATTTAAAGTTGTACTTGTTGAATGATTACTATGCACGATCTGATAGATTCTAATAAGAAATTTTACGGTATGTGGGGCTAAGAAACCAAATCTATCAATAGCAAAGAGAATGAGCATGTGTTGATTCTCTAAACAAGTTTTCTCGTGAAATTTTTTCTGTCAAGAATCCAAAGGGGACAAGGTGAGTATTTATTTTATTTAAATGCCTACACTTAAAAAGGGTGGGACTTGGAAGAGATTTAAATCCACTTCATTTACTCTAGATTATAAAGTTTTTGCTCAAATGCGCATCCCAAACATTACTCAATTACCACATTTGTTATAATGAGTTAAAAATGAGCATATCTTTGAATTTTCTTATAGTTTATCCAGGTAGTTTACCCAAATTGAAATCTTGTCCTTTTATTAGTTAAGACTAATCAAAATTGCATAATGGACTTTTTCCAAAACACAGTGCATGATCAACACAAATATAACTTTTCAATTTCAAAGCAGCATTTATGTTTTAAAACTATGAAAATCTAAACAAAATGACGACTAAACTCGTGCAAATGACCGGTCGGAGCTGGTGATAGAAAATAAGAACGCACACGATTAAAAATGAAATTACAAGTTCGTCCAGAAAAAAAGAGAATGAAATTACATTTAAAAGTTCAATCCAATAAAAAAGGACTCCACTTGGTTGATAACAAACAACACAACTTTAATCATCCATCCATTCAAATCTCAACGAAAGTTGGAATTTATTCTAGATTTTATGTTCTGTACTCCCTTCGTTCCAAAATAAATTACAGTACTCATTTTCCTTTCTTTTTTGTTCGTCCCAAAGTAAACTTCCCATGCATTCTCATGCATGAGAATACTCATTTTACTTCTTAGCTCGTGACATTACCGTTCAAACCCGTTATATTCCCACATGCCCATCACTAGGTGAACTTGTGATATTTTGGGTCGAATGGAGCACGGTAAAACTGTTGAGAAATCATAGTAAAAAAACGGGTAGTAGAAAAAGAAAAAAAAATTACAGCTGCAGTTCATATACTACAGTTCAGTTTCACTGGACTTGGACCTCTTCTGGAACTGTTCCTTCTTTGATTTCCACCACTTGGCTAACCTGTAAGAGACCTTGTTCGCGTGTCTCTTCACGGTCGTGCTTGCTTCTTGGAACCCTTTGATGATATTCTCCTTCCAATCCATCTTCTTTTTAGTTTCTGTTTTTCCTTTAAAAGCTTTCCCCTGCAGGTAACATTCTAAAAGTCTCAGTTTTTATGCCTTTTCTTGAAATGCATGGAGACTTAGAAATTTGAAGTTACCAAATTCTTTGGGAAGTCATCCTCATCATCGTCATCTTCGTCAGCATCTTCATCACCAAAATTTTGGTTCATCAGATCTTCCCTTGAGTACATTTTCATGCCTGGTGCTCCTGGCATGCCCTGGAAGAAGAAGAAGAAGAAGAACATGACGGTAATATATTGATATAGAGCACCAGAGAATTGCGAAAGGCATGAACTTTTGTAGAAAATGGATTCCTCTTAAGGCAACAAAAATTACCTCCATGGATTTCATTAGCCTCTCCATTTCTGCTTCTTTTGAGGATTTTGGAACAAATGGTTCTCCAGGAGTCCTATCCTGTGTTATGCAAGAATATGAAAAGGATACCAAGGATAAGACTAAGCACATCCAGTAGTAAGAACACAATGGTTAACTCGCAATGAAAAGACCCATACAAGCCGTGAATATATACATATATACAACCACAAGTTTCTGTTTTTCACATGTTGGATTTGATTACCTTGGGAACAGGTGGTGGCTTCCTATTACATGCTTTGGTCAAGTCCTTGCATAGGAATGTAAACAGAGAATCAAGATCAGGTTTGTGTGTGTACATATATTCTGCTACATCAGTGTCAGAGAAGCCCATAACCTGCAAAATCCCAGAACATTTTTTTAATTTCAATTTTCAATACAAGAAACGGCCAAACTTATCTACGCTTTACATAAGTTCGAGCACTGAAAACCATGAAAAGGGAAAAAAAAATCAATACAAATAATAACTGCAGGTATCAAGAAAAAAAGCAACTAAAATGTACTCCGTACTCAGTAATTTTTATACTGTTTTTTTTAAAGTTTCTTGAGAGCACGCCAAAGACCGAAAGAACTTTTAATGAAGCACATTTTCAGTATCTATTTTTCAAAGTCAAGTGATTTTTGTAGGATAAAAAAGCACCAAAGTGGTTCTTTTCGTTGGGTTTAAATTTCCGTACTTGATCAAAGATATTAAAAACAGTAGTTTCTAAGTAACAGAAAGACAGTTTTTAATGATTTCAAAAGCACATCCAGATGGGCATCATGAAGTTGAGAGTAGATATCAGCAGTGAAGAAAAAAAAACTGTTCTGAGTTCTACTCCACCTGCTACTCAGTGTGCCTCCGTTGTTCGAATAGATTCATTGGAAACTTTTAAACCAGAGAATAAGGAAGAGCAGACTTATAGCTGGATATACAGTATGACTTTGAAGTAGGTTCTACTCCACTTCAATAGACCAAACCATTCTAAGCATATCCAGTATGACTTTGAAGTAGGGTCTAGAGGTAAGCAGACCTTACCTCTACCCTAACACCCGTATGTAAAGAAAAAATGTACTCCGTATCTTTTTGAAAAATTTTGAGCATGTTTGAAAATGTTAAGTACTCAGTTATAGTTAACATTCACATAACGCACCCTTAAGGCCCTAAATACCGGACCAAGAGAGCCCCCAGGCCCCAACTACCCAAAAGTGTCTCACTTCTTAAGTATGGAGCAAGAGTAATAAAATCAGTGATAACTATGATAAGACCCAAAAGAAAAAAAGGAAGTGCCGCATGTTACCTCTTGACATGCATGTTCAATAGTTTTACACTTCGAATTACATTGTCCCTCAGCATCTTGTTCAACAAGCTGAGTAAAACAAAATGTAAGATAAAGAACTTATAAAAATCATATCTTCACTACAGATAAATGATAAATCGGTTCTTCAACAAAGGGTCAGTTTAAGAGTTGAGTTATGGAGAAGTTTGGAGTGCTAAATGCACATGTTAATATGTATTTATGAATCTTTGAACTGAAAATAGCATAGTTACCATAGTACATGATTAATATTTCCAACCACGCTTTATCCATTTTCAGAAGCATTTTATTTACCAAGATATTGGCTACCCATTCATAGCTTTCCCCTCCAAAACCCTTCATCCAAACATAACCTAAGGGAATGCTAGACAAAAGAAACGGGTGGAATCCAGAATAACCACATTTTACCACACCAAAAGCAGAAAAGAAATTAGATGGTTAAAAAAGAAAAATAACCATTTATTTTACCTCCAATTTATCACCTTGTTCTACAATATCAATTTTGAGGATCCAATCAGCTTCTTGCTTCTTCAAATTACACACATTCTCTGAAATTTCTATTATCTGGTACTCCGAAATCTGCTTCAAACCCAACATACGCAAATTAACTAACCTACACATTCTTGTGTTTGGTAAATTGTAATCCACCAAGATTATGGATATTGAAAGAAGTTCAAAGAACCATCTCCAAGTTACTCAATGGATAACACTGATAAATAAGCTTAAAAAATCATGTAAAATTCATCAATTTTGCTAAACACGAACAGGAAAAGTTATTTAATCTCAATCCGATTTGAAAAATCTAGTTCAGTAAGGTGCTTTAAGACGCAAAACTACTGCTACAACACAATCAAATACATTCACACAGCCCAGAAAAGATACTCTTTTTAGCATTAGAAAGACAAAATAAAAATCTTGAAAGATCCAATAGAATACACACAATCTGATTCGGCCATTGTTACCTTCTTGGGTGAGATCTCAGCTTGTTTGCTCTGAACTTGGCGGTGTAGCTGATTTGCCAGCTTCTCACAGACCTGGCATTTAATATAGGGAATGTCTTCTTTTCTAGCCGCACCCACTGCCTTCTTTGCACACTCTGAAATTGGCAGCAAGATTGCGCAGGACAATACTACCAACAATGCCAATTTATCAAATTTAAACATTTTCCCAAAATTTAAAACAAAATTAATCTCATAGAAAGCAAAAACCCTTCTTCTTCTTCTTCTTCTTCTCTCTCTCTTTTCTTTACTAAGGTAGACTGTGGGCTTAAAATGCGTCTAAATATAATTTCTTTGGTGAAGAAAATGGACCAAACTAATCGTCGAAGGAGAAGCACAGATTTTATATTACTCCGTAGATCTTATGAGAAGAAAGCTAAGCTCGAAGAAAATTTCTGGAAAATACATACGTACCATCGCAGAAAAATTCTACTTGCGTGTGTTGCGGATTTTGATTGGTTAATATGGACCGATGTGTAAGTAGACCCCACTTTTAGACCAATGAGCATCAACCACGTGGCACGCACTTGATCTCTAAAACCCTAATGTTTTTACACAGCTAGGGATTTAGCAGCACTTTAGCCTCGACCCGAGTCTCCTAAAACTCTGTGGTGGCCATGGCGTCTGCGCTGATTGAATCCAAGGATTTTGGCGGCTTTCTTGGTAAAAATTATCAATCTGCACTGGACAGATCAATCCAAGAATTCTTGGACTCTTCCGGCGATCCCAATTCCGAAAAGTTTCAATCTTTGAGCTCGAACTTTCAAGAACTGCTTCAGTGTAAACTCAACCCCCCTCTAGAAACGATCTGGTTTTGTTCTGCCTTAGACTTCCGGAGCTCCGGTTCCGAGGAAACCGATCGGCCTTCGAAGCGGTTGGCATCCATAAAAGATTTGTTTCAGCTCATTGTTGCTCGTTCCCTTTCATCTAATTCATGGAGGAGCATTGTGTTGATTGCTCCAGTGATTTATGAACTGTTTCGTTTTATCTCTGATCTTAATAGCCTTGAGCTGAAATCTAAGAAGCAGAAGAAACTTTTAGAAGAGGTTAAGGATTTTGTTGGTTCGATTCTTGGGTATGTTAACATATGTTCTGAGGGACTAGCTGGCAAGTTTGATGCCACGGAGGGCCTTATTAGGCCGGTAGTGGATTTAGTTGATGCTTGGATGGGGAATGTTGGAGAGAGCCATGCTGGTTTGAGACAATTTTTCCCACTTTTAAGTGATAGTTCTGTGGAATCGATTAATGCTGGAGAGTTGCAACTGACTGAGCTGGCAGGTCTGGTGATTGCAGAAGCATTTTTGTTGAAGTTGTGCTTTGATTTGAAAGAATGTAGTTCAAGAAAAGAGGTGGAGAGTGAGATGAGGTCATGGATTTCGTGTTCTATAACTGTTCTTCGGAACCCCTTCTTTCATGGTTAGTGTTGATGTCCTTCCATTTATTGTCCTGTGAATTTCAATCTCTTCTTTTTAGATGGATGTATATATTCATTTGAAGTTCACCAAAACAATGCGTGTTTAAAGAAAAGTAGACAACCAGACGTGTTTCCATATATTTTGTATTCATAAATTGCTTTTGTATGCTGGTTGTAAGGCGAACCTTAAGTTGTCTTTTGCGTGTGATTAGGAACCCTTCTGTTGATGCTTCTGGAGGCATCTTTACCAACGGTGGCTTCGCTACTGGTGAGACGTCTCTTTAATTTCTAAGTATTTGCCTCTTTACCCATACTTCGTGAGTGCTAATGTGGTTTGTTTGCCTGCACCTCTTTCATTAAATTGAATTGGATAGGCTTTTAACTCTTACATAATATTTGTCTGAATCAGAGCTCCGAGGACGAAGTGTTTCTTAGGGAACTTTTGTATGATGCCATGATTTTAGTGGACTATTCTTTCCTTAATCCTAAACAAATGGCACAACTGTCATCCATGTGTGTTAGAAGCATTTCCATGGCAAGATTGATGGTGACTAGCGAAGCCATACAGATGTATAGGTATCCACTTTTAACTACTACTACTTCTTCATTGTCTTCTTCGTTGTCTTCTTCTTCTATAAAGTTTAAAGAATGCACTTTTCTGAGCCTTATGCCTGCTTGTTTGGCGCTGGCTGCAGGAAAAATGGGAACCATAAGAAGGCAGTCTCTTATTCAAGGGCCTTTTCTGGCTCTACTTTACCTTCTCAAATAATTAAAATGGTGAGAGAAGAAGGGATCACGAGCGAACCCAATGGTTCATCCCCTGCTGCTTTGTTAAGTAAGTATTTCTATATTGTTTCTAGTTTTTTTTATTTTTCCCCCTGGTTGATTATATAAATGTCCAAATATAATATCTCTAATTTATTGAATATATTTTTGTTGTACATCTTGATTATGTGTATTTTTTAGATTGGAGACCATGGGAACCAATTCCTCTTTGAAGTTGTGAATACTAAATTATTATACTCCTACTTTATGCACCAAGAGTAACAAAAATAATGCTCCGAAAATTTGCTGATACACTTTGTTTTCCCTTGATAAACCAGAATGGATCCTTAATGTAGAAAACAGTGGGGCAAGACTTTTCGACGCCAACATCTCAAAAATATGTGCCAAGCTAGCAATAGATGAGGATGATAATAATGAAGACACAAAGCAGACTGGTGAAGCAGATGCAGAGGAAGAAGATCTCTTCTACATTGATACCAAAGGTGAAGAAGACAATGGGAGCGGTGGGCATGATGAGGATGAGGAGGTTGAAGAGATGAAGGAATCCATGAGTGCTGCCTTCCTTGCTGCTGCTCAGTCAATGCACAGTTCAGAACACAAACGGAAGAGAACAGGCTCGGATGCCGAGAAAGTGAAGCTCCTCAAGAAACCCAACTTGTGTGACGAATCGAAGACAGTTCTGCAGAAAGATGGTCCAGAGAGTGATGTTGAGGGATCATCATCATCATCTTCTTCTTCTTCTTCTTTTTCTTCTTCAGATGATGATGATGAAGATGATTGAAGATCATCATCATCTTCTCTTTATGTGGGTAAAGAATTGATCAATGACATGATTGTTTAATCTATATATGAACCTCTTTGATGTCTTGTTTCTTGATTTGTTATGGAGCTGCAATTGTAAGATTCTGAATTCAGAACTCTGCAGTTTTAAGGGGTGACAGGATGTGGGCATCATACCACATCTGTCATAAACATGCTTCTTTCTGCAATTTCATCTTTCTCTTTTCACAGACTCGAAGTCTTCGCGACAAAATGAAAAATTTTATCAACGAAATAGATTGTGATAATGACTTATGTGGATTTTAATAATTTTTAAATTGCTGAAGGATCTACCCTTTAAACTTGATAAAAACACCACTTTCCTAAAAACAAATAAGTGAAGTGTAAAACTTGTCGGAAAGTTAATTGTGAAACATAGCTACTAGTATTACTCATAAATTTTGTATTTTTAATGTAGCCAAATCTCCATGGGGAAGAATATTACAAATAGACACACACTTATTATCAAACGACAAAGTCACAACAACAATAAAAACATAAGAAAATTGATGAACATCAACATGCTATCTTGGGATTAAGGCAAAGAGTATGTCCAGATTTTGAAGTGGTCTTGTTCGCCATTTTTTTATACTACTGATGCAGAAAATGAGTTAGTATATACTCCGTATCTGGAATGCCTTGGTTGGCTTGCCCCTACCTGTGACACTGCATAACAAAATGAATTAAACTTGGGTATCCCAATTTTGACAACATTCTCCTCACAGAGACACAGGAAAGTGCTTGATATTTGCAAAGGTAGTGTCAAATTTGGGATACTCCTAACATTTTTTCTAAGAAAACATCAAAGAGTGGTGGGGAAGAAGATAATACGTACCCTCATTCAATTCAAAAAAGATGGTTGAACTTCGTTCTTCACTCGGAGCTCATTACCTTCTCAGGGATGACCATGGACCCAATACCTTTCCATTTGATGATACTGTATGCCAGGATGCCATTTATTGGCATAAGGATGCTCATTATAACTAAATGTATAATTATTAGAGTTACTACTCATTTTGGTCCATCTGAGTCAATTTGGTCCATGTATGTTGTGTTGAATCAAATTAGTCTCTGTAGCTAAAAAGAGTAAATCAAGTTAGTTCCTTAACAAAATTAATATTAATTAGCGTGTCAAGTCATTTTTTTAATAATATCATTAAGATCAATTTGGTTAGAGGGACTAACTTGATTCACTTTTTTTAGGTACAGTCATTAAGATAAATTTCGTCAGTATAGCTATTAATGAAAGATTCTTATTTTTCTTCAATTTCAGTATTTTGGGTTTAATTATTTTTTGGCTCAATATTTGTTGTTGTTAATGAAATTACTAGCAGATGTTACCAGTGGTTTTTTGACCGTCCGTGACACTCATTTGTGCAATACTTTTCTGCAAATCAATTGTAGTCAATGAAGATTAGAGCAGAAGCAACAAGACAATAGAGAGTTAAAATACTACGGAGTACATAACAATTTTCAAATTCTAGGATCATTCCACAACACCTTGCTAGAAAACCATGATTGCAGTTGTGAGTACAAAGCACAATTGTTTTCTTGTAAAATTAGTATCAGTAGAATCGAAAGTGTACTCCCTTTGGTCCTGGATTCTAGTAAATCTGTCTGTTTGAGTTTAGCAATTGAATTCCTTAATTCCAAACTTTCTTGACATTTGTGTATAGTCGTACATGTATATTTGTATATAAACATTATATGTGTGTATTGTATTGAAGGTTTTGTTATAAGATTATGTAATGCACTTACAGTAACGTTTGACACCGCACCAGTGATGACGAATGGATGTGAAGTTGCATCAAATATGTAGACTCACGCTTCCTGCATTCTACTCCGTGGGATTTTTACTTGGTTTGTTGTTGTTAACAAATGCGTAGACATAAAAGTACTTGCATGGAACATATATTTGTCTGTAGTGTACCTCAATACAAAGAGAGTAAATGTCTTTTGCTTTTCCCCGCGAGTTCTTTATATTTTGATTGACATCTCTTACAGATTGGGTCCAGTGGCATCGGTGATGTTTGGAACAACATAAAGGTTGAAGTGCCTATTAATGCCCAACATGATGTTGCCAATTCAAAGTGATTCTAAGTAAAAAGTTGAATGCCACAACCTGAACAGCTTTTCCAAGATAATCACCCCCTACGAGCTCCTCCAGCCAAACTACAAGAAAACATTGAAAAAGGTTTAAACAGTTGCAGGCCTGCAGCATACCCATTATTAACACAGAATAAGCAAACACTAATATTAGCACTTGATATATGTTGCTCGTGGTAATATTCTTGTCCCTTTTAAGTGTAACAACTCATGACTAAGAACCATTCTTATTTCCCAAATATAGATCAACTTCTCCAAAAATTGGAGTTTATTAAGCAATATAGTGAATTGCACAAATAGTGGTGAACTTGCACACATCAGTGATCGTAGGCATGCATATGCAAGGGTTACAAAAACTAACATGGTTAAGGAAATGAACGGAAATGGAGGAATAATTGGTTAAGATATGACAATAGTATCATGTAATCTGCAATTTTGTAGTTTTCCACTTGTTCTTGGTTTGAAAATCACATTTCCTTTGAAAACTTTTTTTTCTAGGCAATGTACATGTTGGAAATCTCATAGAAGTCTTTCCATTTGAAGCCAAATAAATAACCTTGAATGTGAGAAAAATTAATGAATTTCAACATAAGCTCTCAAATTAATTTCAAATTAGAGATTAAAAAATTACTCGTAACTCGGAAGACACAAACTCTCTTCTTCCTCCATTTAGTACAAATCACGGAAGAAGCAACAATTTTAACAATTTTAACATGCAAACTCTTTTTTATTCATGGAAAAAGTAACAATTTTTACACTTGGAGAAGAGTTTAACTTTTCAAGTGGTAAGAAACTGCACATACCTTTGGAGCGTCATCTTGAGTGAGATATATTGGATTTGTTTGATTTGGTCTGGTTTTGCTACAATGTACATATGAGTTTTGAAGCCTTTGAACAGTAAGTCGCATTCCCTTGGGACTTGATTCAGTTTAGTTAATGCTTCCACTATGCTGCCAACATCGCGTATTGGTATTACCTTCAGCAAGTTTCCTTCTGCAAGAGGATCCGTTTTTCAAAGTTGCCCCACAAATTCGGATGGAATTGCTTCTTTCATCACTAGTTTTAAGAGGATTTTCTTTTTGAGTGTCAGATTGATTTTTACTACTGTCTTCCCCTGAGATATGTAGATAATCATTATGCTTTGTTAATGACTTCTTAACCCCATGAATTCTCCTTCCCTTGTGCTCTATGCACCTTTTGTTTTTCCCAAACGGTTTACTCGCACAAGGGGAACCATTTTCTAAGACAAAGCCACAAATGAGAGTTTCATTTGAACTCCCGTCATCAGCAATCAACTTTGAATTCAATGAACCATTGATCTTCATCCCCTTGTGTTCACAACATCTTTTTCTTCCCTTAGCTGGTGACCTTATACAAACCGATCCATGCCCTAGTGCAACTCCACAGATGCCAAGATTTTCATTAATGTCAAAGTCCACTGAAACTACCCCTGGCCGGGACCTCCCAAATTTGAAAATCTGGGGAAGGAAATGGCTACTTTTAGTATTCCCATAGAAATAAGATCCGTTCTCTGATGGAGGCGGCTCACAAACTTCAATCTTGATGCCCTTTGGTCTTTGAAGTTATAACTTAAGCCTCCTGATGATAGAGGGAAGAAACGAGGGAGATGCTCTTGAAGAGATCAAGTCAAGTTTGTAAAAGACGTCGCTCTGGCGTCTCGCGCCATTACTGTCTGTGTTCCAAGCATAATCAAACTTATCAAGCAGTTGAGCTTCTGCCTTCTCGGCGTCTTTCTTGCTTTTCATCTGCTCAACAATGAAGGAAATTGATGGTGAATTTTTACAGCTGCATCATCTGCTCATAAACAACACCTTAATCCCAATTAGTTTGGGGTTAGTGCTGATATCTATAGCTTCGTTTATCATAGTCATTGTTTCACCTTAATAGTCAAAATTTTAGCCAAACATAAATATATTTACACTTACCGGAGCCCACCTATAGACAACAGTGAGGCCTCTGGAGAATGCACAAGTGAAGAACAAAGGGCCCTTGCTGCAAAGGGCATTCTTGTCCCAAGACAAATCACCTTTTGAGCAACCATTCTCTAAATGTGAGCCATCCCGTCCGTACTGCTGAAGTCTAGTCCTAACATTGTCAGTTTGTCCAACATAAACTGGAACAACAATTGCAGAATCAACTCTGTGGTTAGCCGTCTCTCGCCTAGGATTCGAAGGTGTTATGCCGAGCTCATAGATTCCGGGGCAAGAAGCACAATTTGGAAGGTTCTGAGTTCTATATCTTTCGGCTCCCTCAATCCCAGAAACGTAGTCTTGCCAATCATTCGGCCCTACCAATATCTGATATCAAAATGTTTCAGAAGTTTTTATCATGATATACTCCAAGATTATATTGTACGCTTTACGAAAGACCCTATGATCAAGAACTATGATAATTGAAATTGACAAAACTAGCGTGTGTTTCTTAGATCCAGTAATTTTATTAAACAAATATATATATAATAACAGTACAACTAATTCCAGAGGTTGACAATTAAATCTGGACGAAGGGAAACAATTGGTTTTGTAAGAATTAGATACAAGAGTGTTGGCGCTGAACAGCGGGCAACAATTCCCAGTTCTCTTTTACAGATAAAGATTCAATTTTTATGCCAAATCGGAGGGGAGGGAGCATGGGCATTCAGCAAAAACAAAAAAAAACAAAAAAAAAACAGAGAGATATGAAACTCGAGTGGCCGGGTACCTTCCATTCGGAGAAAGCAGAGTCGTGCTTGGTGCGCTTGCAGTCTTCTCTGTTCAGCCGATCGACTGCGGCGGCGGAGGAGGCCGCCATGGTGAGATGAGCGAGGGAGGACTGTGGCGCGTGGATCTGGTTGGGCGGTAGAACCTGGAATTGTTGAAGAACACTTGACCGTTGCCTTTGCATGTGCAATTTATTGCAAAATGTATTTGGAATGGAGCCCAACTATACCACTTGGTGAATGTTACCCATACATCCATTTTTTTCTTATTTTTATTTTCCTTCTATTTTTAGGGATAGTGTGAAAACGAAATCGACATCAAACAAACAAGTGAGTCAAGGGGTAACTAGTCAAAATTTAGGTCAATGATTTGATCAACTATAATTAAAAGACAATTCTTCTATAGACATAAGATCCATGTTCATTTTATTAATCTTAGTGCATTTGTAATATTAAAGAAGTGAACCTTTTGCAAAATAAAAAATATCTACATGATTGACACTATAATTCTGTAAAATAACACTTAATTTAATATACTTAACTTAAAACTTCAATTGAGTATTTCAATAAAATTAAATTAAAATGTACAATAAAATGAAACATAATTAAAACTAGTGCATTAAAAAATTTAAAGATATTTGTTTCTATCGTTGCCAGGTATGTGCATTCCAAATCACCACTTTGTAATCTTATCGAAACCTTCATTTTAGCATCAACGCCTGCACCACCAAACCAAGCTTCTCAACATCAGTCGTTATTATATTGAAGTCTTCTTGTTCTACTAATTGATGCTCAAGCTCCAGCTTCTCTGAATTTGATTGATGCTCGTGTTCAAGCTTCTCCGTTATCGGTTGATGCCTAGGCCAAAGCCTCTCCACTTATAATTCATTAAAGATGAACAAGGTAGTAGTGAAATACTCGAACCCTTTCATCACGGGCTCGAACGCCATTTGCAAAGATGCTGCTTTTTTTGCCTTATCCATCCCAACAAGTCGCTCCGGCTCCGGAGGTGTTGGTATGTAGGCGCTGTCATCACTAATGTTCGGCAACCAACGCACATCAGATCCAACGATTCAGACGTCTTGATCCGTTTCGCCCACGCCACCTTTAGTACCGAAATTTCTTGAAAAAATCGAGAATACCAAACCAAAAAATAATGAAAAAGAATCGAACCGTACTAAATAAAACGGTCGGTACGGTAGTTGGGAACAGTACGAGGTGAAGTCCCATACCAAAAATCTAAAACCGAACATATACACTAATATATTATAATCTTTATATATTTTTTCACTAAATAATAAATTTATTTTGAAAAATTGGTTCGAGTTCTATTATGTGTAAATTGTAATCGAGTTTTAATTTTTTGTATATAAATATAAAAATATTCACAAATATTCGAAATACTACTTTGTTATCATTCATTTTTTAGTTTGTGAGAAATAAACTGAGTGTTGATACATATTTCTTGCATTTAAATATTCATTTTTTTAGCCTTTTATGTTTCTCCATTTAAATGCATTTTTAATTTTTAAAGAATAAAGGGGCATTGCTACACTACTTTAATTAAGGTGTAAAGTATGTATGCATTCATTTCGATTTGTACCTAAACTTATGTCAAACCAACTCGAATCACACCGATTAATATTTTAGTACAGTACCAGTACGAACTAATGTCGTATCATATTGTATCATGCTAACGATAGACTTGAATGGTAGTTTTAAAAAAAGTTTGGGACCAAAAAACACTTTTTAATAAACGGAAATTGGGAGTTCCGTCAGACTTTGCACGATCGACAAAGAGAGAGAGCGCAGGAGCCGTACTCCGCCGCTGCCCAGGTTCGTCGGCGATCGACGACCGTCGACGATTCGTCATCCCTCTCCGGCGTCACTCAGGTATCCTTTTCTCTCCTCCGATCTGTATACTCCGTATCTCTCCGCCTCTCTCTCTTTCCTTCTCCTAGTCTATGTCTCTCTTTCCTCTTCCAATTTCTTGGCTATTTTATGATGTCTGCTCTACTGGTTCGATTTTTTAATTGTGTCATAAATTGTTCATTTTATTTTTTGGATATTCGAATGTGTGGAAAATTGAGACTTTTGTGCAATTTGCCTCTCTCCATAGCTGTTTCTGTGCAATTTTATACCGTGTAGTCTACTGGTCTGGTTTTGGCTAGTGTCACCATTACTTTTTTTAATTGAATTAATTGTGGATTAATTATAATATGTTTGATTTATTTAAAATTAGGACAATTGTGATATTTTGCAAATATTTTGAACATAAATACATGTATCTTACAAAGAAATACAACAACAACTCAGTCAGATCCCTGGTGTTTGAGGAGGGTGTGTGTACGCAGACCTTGCCCCTACTCAAGAGTAGAGAGGCTGTTTCCAAGAGACCCCAGTTCAGTATCTTACAAAAATGAATAATATAAATAAAAAATGTATAAATAAATTTCCCGCACTTGCTCCTTTTTTTTTTTGAAATTTTCGCAGCCGCGCAGCAGTTATGCACCGGTCGATGCACCCGCACCTGTGCTTCATAGGTGCCTCATACGTGCCTGGTAAACCTAAAAAACTGGGTGTCCTCAAACATCATGTTTGACTGTGAAAATTACTAAACATGGATAGATTGCCGAATTGTTTACATGTCACTTGAACCGGATGGATTAATTGTGGAATGCAGTTTTGTTGTATTTTTTATGTGTAAGACTAAAAAATGACATTGGTGATGTTATATTGTTATCTTTAGCTTTTGTGGTTTTCATTTATGACATAAATGTATTGAAATGTTTACGTGGTTTTGAGTTACGACATAAAATGTATCGAAGCATTTATTATTAACTTTTGGTGTTATGTTTGTATGATTTTGTCTTTTGATTTTCATATATTACTCTTTATATTTAGTGTTTTAGACTTATTATTGTTAAATAAATCACAAAAAGATTGCATTTCAGTAGATAAAATCTAAAAAAAGCAAACAAAATATGGAGTATGTTTTTAAACATGATTTTGTTTTATTTATAATTAATAACATCACCAGTTCAACCACAATTGGTCCGACATTTGAACCAGTTGACCCGGTAAATTTTCCGATTCAATTAGTGATCCAATTTTTAAAACATAGGGACAGTGCGTAAACACTACAAAAACACAGTAACAAAGGGCAAATTTCGATAAAATGAACTATACAAAGTAAATGTTGAAGTACAACACCTTTTACTCAAGCCCAATCCTAATTTTAATTCCTTTGGGGACTGGTATCATATACAATTCACTGTTCTTCCATATCCAGGTATTTCATTTTCCACATCTATTTGCTATTCTGATATATTTTTATATTCTTTCAGCTTTATTTTCACCTCTTTCGTGAGTTACAACCTATTTACAACTATGCTTGCGGTTAGACTTTTACGGAGGACTTTCTTGGCTGCTGCCAAATCTGAATCTATGGGGGTAGGAGCAGCAGGCACTGCAGCTAGAGGAGCAGTACAGAACCCACTCGAGCAGTTCTTTGAAGCAGATAGAAGTGTAGATGATGATAAACCTGTTGTATATGGTATATATTTAACCTTATAATTATAGCCAAATTTTATATTGAGATTGAATGTGGGCTTTTAATACAGTTAATATTAAGTATCTATTTTATGCTTCATCATCAAAAAGGAATATGTTTCAGGTCGGAGCTGGAAGGCATCTGAACTTCGTCTCAAGTCCTGGGATGATCTTCAAAAGCTATGGTTTGTACTTCTCAAGGAGAAAAATCTGTTGATGACTCAGCGTCAAATGCTTTATGCTCAAAACTTGAGATTTCCAAATCCAGAACGAATCTCCAAGGTAAATTTTAACTAAACATTTGCTCACATGATCCTTAATTTCAAAAAACGGTACTTCTTAACCTTTTAATACTCCCTTCATCCTACTAAATTTGCTCACTGTGTGGTTCATATTGAATATGTAAAGTATAAAGTTGGAACAATTTTGGACAAAACAAATTTGACAAATATGGAATGAGACAAACAAAAATAATAAAAAGAAACAAAGATAGCGGGAAGGGAGTGTTTATTTTCTTGTGTCACTGCTCTTATTTCCATCCAAATGGATGAGTTGAAAGAAAAAAGCTCTAAGCGTGGCACTTTTTCATACTCTGTATTCTGTTTTCTCATACTACACAAGATAATGCCATGGAATCTTCAATTCAATTGTGTCACTGACTGTTTTATGTGTGAATTGCAATGCAGTTTTAGCGGGTGGATTATGTGACTTTTGACCATATGCTGCTTATTTAGTGTTCTACTAATAAATACTGTATTTTTCTGTGAATGTGAGTCATGTGACTGCACAAATTCCTTGCTGATTTGATTTTTTCTTTACCCAAATCCATATTTCTAGTGGAAAAAAAAATGAAATGGGTATGCAAAAGAAAAGGTGATGCAAGAAGAGGTCTAGGGTCTGGATTAAGTCCGGAACGTATGGAGAGGTTGAGGTGTCGGCATGCATGTTTAGGATTGGGGTTTTGCTTGGGGTACACCAAGGTTACACCAACCTCATTTTTTCTCTTCAAAGACCAAATTTGTCTCTGTCACATTCAATTCTTGTAAGACACATCTTGTCTCTGAAATGCAAAAATGAGGTTGATGTAACAATGTAACCTTGTTCTACACTTTTTGGTGTACAAAAAGTTTAATCCTTGAGATTGTGCGGTTGTGCACATATAGTACTGATGAGTCCTTAGAAGTGGACACTACACAATTTAGTAGCCATATTATAGTATCTGTTAGGAATCTCAACTGCTCTCATGTGATAGTCAATCGGCTGAGCCTCGAAAGTCTGATAATTATCTTTGTCTGTCTCATTTGTATATGTGGGATGATTTCTGTTCAGGTAAGGAAATCTATGTGCCGAATCAAACACGTGCTCACGGAGAGAGCAATTGATGAACCAGATCCCAGGAGGTCTAGTGAAATGAAGAGAATGATAAATGCCCTATGAGAGAGTAAGGGCTTTTTGTTTAGCAAGGACAGATGGATTGTTCTTCACAGTTATCCTCTTTCAAGAAATTTGTGTTTCAGATTATTAGAGCTGTGGGCATACTTTTGGGCACAATCTCTGCTAATAATTTGGTAGAGCATGAGGAATTGGATGACTTGTTTGGATCATTTAACTTTTATCTTCCCTATGAATCTTTTTTTTCATGTGTAGAACAAGAGGAAAGAACCATGTTTTGATTTTCTTTTTCTGACATAATCAAAACCTATTAAGGTTGGTTTTGTTAGTCTAACCAAGGTCCTCAATGAGTTTTGAAGATTAACAGATAGCCTTCACAAAATAGTGATATGAAGCTTAAGAACAATTTTCTAGCTCCAATTTCGTTTGGGAAAAAATTAAGATTCAGAGAATAATTTTCACAAAAAGTCATTTATTTTTTTCTGGCTTATAAATAGTTTATAAGTCATTTTATAAGCACCGAGGAACATTTTATCAGTTGATTTATAAGTTAAAAATAACGTATAAGTAGTGCTAACCAGTTTATAAGTACGGAAAAACATCAACATGGCTTAGATCTTCGGGATGAAACACTAATAACATGAGATAGTGATCGCAACAATGGAGTCATTGCATTATCAACACAATTCTTTACCTTGGTATATTGAAAGGTTGTCTTGTGAGTGGTGGCATTAGGAGCCACGGAGTATAATATTGGGTAATACTCTCAAACTTTAATTGTCGAGAATTGATCACGAAACTTTATACTAATCTCTCATCTTTCAAGGCCATCTAAGCTACGCGTGCCATCTAGGGCTGAGTTGGGAAAATTGAAAACCGCAAATCGAACTGAAATCGATCAAAACGAGTTAGAAAAAAACTGAGCAAAAAACGAAAATCGTGTTTTTACAACTTTTTAATGATTATAAATTTTATTTTTAAAAATTCAAAAAACCAAAATAAAAACCACATAAAACCAAAACCGAATAACCAACGGTTTATATTTTTTTTAAGCGAAACCAAACCGCCAACTTACCTTCTGTTTAGTCTTTAGTTTTACGTGAAAAACGAACCGCTGAAACCGAACCCACTGCTAGTGCCATGGCCCATCAGCAGCATAGCTTGTAGGCTTTTCCCCCCTTTTCCGTTTCTAAATTATTTTTTATTTCAATTGTGTTTGCCCTTTTTTACGTTCCCTTAAGTAACGAGTCCTTTTAAATGCAAATACAGTCTAAGTTTCAATTAGTCTTAGCTCGTGTCCTTTTAAGCGCAAGTTGATTAATAACAATATTACTCCGTATTTATTTATTAATATAAACAAAACACGCAAGACACAAGAAAAGGATCTTTTAGTTTTGCATACTCGGCCTGGTCAACAAATGAATATCATATCATAAAACGCTCTACTTTTTTGTCTACGATTATTTTAAAAATTATAATGACGAATGACATGTACCTAAGGGGTAAAAGGTATTTTTATATTACTGGCTACTCTTATTGGCACTCATAATATTAATGTATCAAAAAATTACAATAGTGAATTAAAAATGAACGGAAGGAGCAATCGGCAATTAGTTATTCTTTTGGTCTTCGGACAAAAGTTATAGTGCCTCCCTTCTAAAACGTTATTCTCATTTCTCGTTTACGAGGTTTGATCGAATTTATTTTTAGGTGTAAAATTAAAAAAAAATAAAATTTAAAAATTTAAAAAGTACATCAAAAATTATAGTACAAAATAAGATGTGACAAGACTATTTTTTTATTTAATAAATAATGAAAATAGGTAATGAAATTAATTAAAGTTTGACCGTGTAAATAGTAACTGAGAAAAACGTTTTAAGACGGAGGGAGTACTTACTATTCGAGTGTTACAATTTTTTTGTTTTCATGTATGCTTAATTTCATACATAGTCACGTCCTCTTTAGTTTGTATTCCCTCCGTTCACCATTTGATTACAAATTGGAATATTTTACGAAGAGAAGTACCTCATTTTTGAAATCATTTTATTTACAAATTGGTATATCAATAAGAAATAAAAATTACATATTGAAAAACTAAGTCAAAAGTTCTACAAAACAAGAAGTGACAAGAATATTTTAGTTTATCAAATACTTAATAAAATTACGTAAACAAACAAAAGTTATCAAGAGGAGAAAGAAAAAAATTGTAATCAAATTGGGGACGGAGAGAGTATAACTTTTAATGAGTGTGATTTTTAAATGTAAATGTTATACTCTGTATTTATTTATTTCTATATCAAATTTTAAATAAAATAAATTTAAAAAAATCATTTAATTTCTTTTATCTTTCCGGTATTTTGTGATGAAAGGAGTAATTAATGTTTTTTTCTCATGCATCACAATCGGTAGAGCCAGCCTAGCTAGTTGTAGCATGTTAGGTTGTGTAACCTTTTTGGTGTGCTTGGGTGGGGGTATAAGCATTTTTTATAAGCATTTTTTTGGGTGGGTATAAGCATTATTTTTTTTAGTACCAATATCTTGTCTTTTTGCCTCACTAAAGATGAGCTCAATCCATGATAAGTTAAGACAAATTAAATTTTGACGGTAGATTTGTCTAAAAAATAAAATTTGTATTTGGTACTTGCAAAACTCTATACTTTGCATATTTTTGTATTGACTAATGGCACCACTTGGTCCATTGGTCACCATGAACCAACATACATATAGTATTGTTTAATTGCTTCTTTCTATTTGTTGCAATCATTTAAACCTGTTAGAGACTAGAATTATCATTTTAAAATGGTTATCTAACGAGCGATATCGTTTAATTTTAACATTTTCAAAATTAATTTATACTGTCAAAATTAATCGAAAACGTTGTTTCCAAATAAGGTCTTAAGTACACTCGTGCATCTCTTGCATTTAAATATTCATTTTTTAAATTTTTTTTATGTTTTTTTTATTTAAATTCACTTTCAGTTTTCAAAAATAAAGAGACATTGTTAAATTTTAAGGTGTAAGATATGTAAATATATATCCATCTCGATTTGTACCAAAACAACACTGAACCATCCCGAACCAAATTGAATCGATATTCCGAGATCGGAATCGAAATGATATAAAATGTCATGCCAAACCAAAATATTTGGTACTTTTTCGGTACAAACTAAATACCGTACCATGCTCCCCCTAGTGATATGTGAGTGGTGGCTTGTGATAATACAACTTTTGCTGACCTCCTACTACAAATTTGAATTTGTGATTGAATTAGTTTCTTAATTATCGTGGTATCAGAGTTTTATTAATTTATCTAAGTTTTACATCTAATCAACGTAATTTTTTTAAAAAAACAAATTCTAAAAAATCCATAATTAAAAAGAAGAGAACTTTTGACAAAGTGAACTATTACTCCTTAAATTAAGTGGAATAAAAAATATAGGGCACTTTTTTTTTAGTGTACCGTGTATGAATAGAGAATGAATAGAATAATGAACCCAAGGTAAAGTTCCAACTAAATGAAACAAAGAAAGAAAAAGAGATGTCCATCTTCGGCCTCGATCATATCTTCCGGCTTTTTCTTTTCTTTCTTTTTTTATGGTACTTTCTCCGTCCCTGCCCCAATTTTTAAGTTTCATTTTGAATAATTCATTTTTAATTAATTTGTTTTCAATTGGATTTATTTAAATGGAGATATAATATCCCCAAAAAAAAGAAAATTATTTGAAAACTATATCCAGTGCGTTATAAAACAATAGTAGAAAATATGAGTGCATAATTTAAATAAATATTTAATGAAAATATATTGTACTATGACTTTAATATTAGGACGGAAGGAGTAGTAAAAAAATGTTTTCCATGTTAATATCATCTCATAATTACATTATTTAATCAAATCCTCAGTGAGTGAATTATAATATAATAAGTCTTTTTATTTTAGTACGAGTATTTTATTTTAGCTAGTTCATACGGATAGAGTAACTAACATTTGGTTGCCAAACGCCTTAGGTCAGTCATTGGTTCTTAGCATCCCTACCTGTTTGAGAATGAAATTGCCAAATACAGCTAAACACCTCCAAATGGAAGCCCTTGGGGTTACTCTAGCTAGCATTTGAGCCACAATAATGTTTTCTCCCCAAAATACCCCCCCNACAAGTCTTTTCATAGTTTTTGTTAGACAAAATATACTAACTCCGTCCCAGAGTATTCGTCTACTTTCATTTTTGCACACCATCCAATGCACTTCTTTAATTCATTTTATCTTGTAATTTGTATATTAAAAAATTGTAAAAATTATATATTAATAATCTATATGTTAAGACAAATCAAACAAGATCACACATAACTATATTTAGGCTTACACATTGAGAGAATTTGATGAGTCAAAGTGCATAGATGAACAGTTCCAAATGTCAAAAGTGGACAAAGAGAGTGGGACGGAGGGAGTACTAATTACTACGAAGTATTTAGCTTTATACCAAACTCTTAGTTTATCATATGCAATCAATTTTTTCAAACATGGAATCAGACCCAAAACTCCTATCGTGGGTCTTCCTTTTTTTCTGATTATTTATCAACCCTTTTCTTCTAAAATAAATCTGAATCGGTTTATGCTCTTCCTACGGGATTGAAGCTTTTTTTAATAAAAAAAATCTTCTTTTTTTTTTTTGAGGAAAAAATCTTCTTTCTTGCTCTATCTATTGTAAAACTTTCTCTAATGTAAAAAAATCTTTCTTGGTTATAAACGGTCTCTACAAATTTTTCTGCTCATAAACTCTAACAAAATTCTCAAAGTCAACAGTTTTCCAACAATGGCTGTCCCTTTCCAAGTATTACCCCATCTCACAAGAAACACCCATTTGACATAAGCTCTGTTTTTTATAATACTACCCATATTTTAGAGTATTTTTAAAAATTAAACTGCACAATTAAAAATTTATGGGAAGATATTAACCATTTTCCCAAAAGAAGGTGAAGAAGATAAATAAATACGGAGTATAAAAACTAAACAAGAAAAGTGGCCTGTAAATTTGCTGGCATTATTTTTCCTCCTTTCCCTCCCTTTCTCTTTCTACATAATAATTAAATATATAAAAAAAATGTCCCTTTTGCTTTCTGTTTTGGGGTCACACTTGCCACATTCTTCTTCATACCACAATACCATTCAGTTACATCCCAAATCCCAATCTTGACTGCACTGTTTCATTCCCCCCTCTACTGGGAAAACAAATTCCTCTTCTTTTTTGTTTGATTTTTTGTATTTAACATTGCTTCTCAAAAGCTAAAATTCAAGAAAAATGGAGTTCCTAGCTCAAATAATGAATCCCACAGTAGTGATTTGAGAGGAGGGTTCAGGTTGTTGGAGTGCTGAGGATGAGTTTGAGAGAAGAGAGTGGGGAAGGGGGGAGGAGAAGATTGGGTGTGGGAAGGAGCAGGGGTGTTCTTGTGGCTGTTAAAGCTTCCATGAATGTCCCAAGAGATGCCCTTGTGTGGGCCCTCACCCATGTTGTTCTCCCTGGAGATTCTGTTAAGCTCTTGGTGGTCATTCCAGATCATCATTCTTCAAGTATTTCATCATATCCCTTCTTGCCTCCAGCTTTAGATTGATGATATGGCTGTGTTTTTACAGATATGTTTGTGAGATTATGCTATGAATCTATATATATATATATTGCTGAACTGAATGTGTTCTTGTGGATGCATATATAGTTGCCCATGATAATTCTTGGATTTGAATGAACCCATTTGTTGAAATGCTTGTTTTTAGTGTGTTGAAGATACACAGTTCTGATAAATGTGCAATTTGCAGGTAGAAAACTGTGGGGATTTCAAAGATTTGGCAGCGATTGTGCATCGACTAACTGGAATTCGTTCTCAGGAACCCCTGCAGATCAAAAGGATTACATCACAGATTCGTGCGCCCAGCTCGTGCTCCAACTTAATCATCTTTTTGATCCAAATAAAGTGTGATTTTATTTTCTACTCTTTTTTTTTTTTGCATTCTAATGCATCATCATCATCATCCATAGAGTTCTTCTCCTCACAAAATTACCATAAATTTCAGGTAAGGCTGAAGATCAAAGTCATTTCTGGGTCAGACTGTGGGATTGTTGCTGCAGAAGCCAAGAAAACTCATTCTCATTGGGTGGTTTTGGACAAGTAGTTTTCCTGTTTGTTTTTTTGGGTTCACACTCATTACCATTTCATTGTTAGTTACCTCCGTAAATATAGCCTAGTAAAGTACTTTTTTTTTTCAACCTTATGACTCTTTTTAGCTTGCAACCCATAATTTCTGAAGACTATTACTTTACTTGTATGAAGAAATAATCGGTGTAAAAAGAAACACGTCCCGTTTCCCATTTGTTCATTGACAAATACTTCAATGCCAAGCAAGGCTCATATTCTGAACTCTGAAGTGTGTCATATTGCAGGAGGATGAAGAAAGAAGCAAAAAGTTGTGTAGAAGAACTAGAGTGCAACGTCGTGATCATGATGAAAAAGAGTCACCCAAAGGTGCTTCGTTTGAATCTCCTCGGATCACCAAGCTGCGACACTAGAGATGTCTCTGGACCAGAAACATCAAGGACAAAGATGGTAGAAGAACTCACTGATACCTGCAATGAGATTCAGGTGCCAAACGCGACTCCAGTTAGCAGCCCAGATCATAAAACAAGCATTGACGCAGCTAGGACTTCATCCTCAGTCTCTGGATATATCTCTGAGATCAATTGGGACATAAAGAAAATCGGATTTTCCCATTACCCTTTTGATGACGAATCTGATACAAACACAGATAGTGAAAATCTGTGTTCTTCTCCCTCAACAACCATGTCTTCCAAGCAATGGACGACAACAGACTCCACTTTCAGTTTACAAAGATTGTCCACAAACAACATTCTGAGTACTGTTACTGTTAAGGATGAGTCACATGTGAAATTCTTTGAAGAAGATCAAGAACTCAAAAGAGGAGGAGCAAATGATGGGATCGGGAGAAGCTCAATGGAACTGACCAAGAACTTGAGAAAGATTGCAACTTTATCCAATAAAGCTCTCCTTGAGCCACCTCCACTGTGTTCAATGTGTCAGCGCAAAGCACCTGTGTTTGGGAAACCGCCGAGGTGGTTCAAGTTTGCTGAGCTGGAAAACGCGACCAACGGGTTTTGTCAAGACAATTTCTTGGCTGAAGGTGGGTATGGGTCTGTGCACCGCGGGGTGTTGCCAGATGGGCAGGCTATAGCAGTGAAGCAATACAAATCTACTAGTTCTCAGGGTGACCAGGAATTTTGCTCAGAAGTTGAAGTCTTGAGCTGTGCGCAGCACCGAAATGTTGTGCTTTTGATTGGGTTTTGTGTGGAGGATGGAAGAAGGTTGCTTGTTTATGAGTACATTTGCAATGGATCCTTGGATGCTCATCTTTATGGTACTCCTCTTTTCCCTCTACTTGAACAAATCATTTTCATTCAAAGCAGCAGCAGCTTACAAACAAAGCTTCTTCTTCATTCTTCCAAACAGGGCGCAAGAAGAAAGATCCTTTAAGCTGGCCTGCAAGACAGAGAATTGCAATTGGGGCTGCCCGGGGACTGAGATATCTTCATGAGGAATGCAGAGTGGGATGCATTGTGCACCGCGACATGCGTCCTAATAACATTCTTCTTACCCATGATTTTGAGCCAATGGTACCCCTCCATCACATCTTGGATTCCCATATCTTTCCACCAAAGTGTTAAGCCATCAAACAAATATAGCTTGAAAATTCTGCTTTTTTGTTAACAGGTTGGAGACTTTGGACTGGCGCGATGGCAACCCGATGGAGACTTGGGTGTCCAAACAAGAATAATTGGAACATTCGGGTAAATAAGATGAATGACAATATTCCAAACAAGACATTAGCATTAAAGAAAAAGTGTTGAACAGAAAAAAACTCATAAGCCCTCAATGTTCTTTCTAAAGGTACTTGGCTCCAGAGTATGCCCAAAGTGGCGAAATAACTGAAAAAGCAGATGTGTACTCCTTTGGTGTCATACTTGTGGGACTCATCACGGGAAGAAAAGCTATGGATGTTAACCGTCCCAAGGGCCAACAGTCCCTCACCGAGTGGGTACGTATGACCTACATTCTCCCCCTCATCACCCTCACAATTTGCTAGAGTATAAAACCATTCCCAAACCAAAAATCACAAGCTTCGGCTTTTGGTTGATTTGATTTCCTTGTCTATTTCATTTCCTGCAAGCAGGCACGGCCTTTGCTGGAAAAGAGTGCCATTGCTGACCTTCTAGACCCTTTCTTGATGAACTGCGGCTATGTAGAAGAAGAGGTGTATTCGATGATGCATTGTGCCGCGTTGTGCATCCAACGGGACCCTCTCTCACGACCTCGGATGTCTCAGGTGTCAAATCACATTAAAAGATTGAATTCAATCCATTAGCCAGTTTAATCATAAACTAATTCTGAATTAACTTTTGTTTGTGCATATATAAACAGGTACTTAGGATGTTGGAGTGTGACATTTAAGATTGGCATGGGGAGAAACATAAAAGGAGGCATGGATGAACAAGAATGATAAGAATATGGAACTTCCAAAAGCTTCCCACATGAGACAATGGAATCATCTAATGAAAAGGATAAAATCATTGTGGAGCCATTTCACTCATTGGGGATGATGTATACTCACTATATACCTTTATAATTGTTATATACTTCTTTCCTCCCTAAATAATCTTCTCATTTATTATCCACAAGATCAAATTATTTTTTTCTTTCCCTGTTTTATTTGATCTGTTGATAAAATAAAATAGTCTTGTAATCACTTGTTTTGTACAATTTTATAAAAAAGTTTTTAAATATACTCCGTATAAGTTTTGTTTTTCAATTATACCCCAATAATCATATAAATTGAATTGAAAATAATTGCAGTTAAATATCCTAATCTAAAATGTGGGAAGATTATTTATGGAGGAAGTGAGTAGTTGTGTAAGTGTAAATAAATATAGCTATGAAAGTTGCTCTACCCAATGGGAGACTAATCCGAACCAAGGATTGGCCAGGTTCTAGCAACGAGGGTACACTAGGAATTTTACAGTTCGTGGGGTAGAATATTCACGAATTAATCCGTTTTATTTTTGTGCAATAATGTAAAAAGTGTTGGTGTATATGTTACGAGTAGTTTATGGCTTGAGTTTTTTTTTTAATCTTCAGTTAGTTTAACTTTTTTAAGGAGTATTAATCTTTTTTATGAGTATAGAAAAGTGCAATTACGGAGTATATACTTATTTTTTGAATTATGCTTAGGCTACCTAATTTTATCAGTACTCTTTTCACCGACATTTATAAACAGGAACGGTGTCAGATGTCAGATTTCAATTTGTTTAAAATCAAAATCAGCCTTATACCGAGTACTTATTACTCCCTTTGTCTTGTAACCTTCTTCCTATTTGACTTTTTTTGGTTAATATTATTAAACTTGACCACTAAATGTGGAAGAAATATGTTTTAGTGTATGTTATGGTATACATATATTTAATATCAATAGGTTAATTTCCTTCATGTTTGTCTCGTATTGATTTTAATTTAATATCAATAGATAAATTTTTAATCACGGTCATAAATTAGACAATTTCCTACATGACCAACAACAACCTACATGGTCGACGAATACTTGCTCCGTCAACTCCAGATTGACCATGAAACCATAGTGATGGATATAATTTATACCTAGGTCAAATCTACCTAGATCAAATCAATTCAAAGGACGAATCCATTCATAACTCTGAACGACAAAAGATTGATAGGTTGGATGTGTGGTCATAATCACTGAGAGACCAAGCCCAATCGTAAAATATTATGACCTGCCAAGGTAGAACCATCTCCAAATATGAGTTTGAGATGATGAAATTCGAGCCCGACCACGAAAAGAAAATGATGCCCGATCAACATTTTTACGCAATACAGGACACATTTTACGCAGACATGACGACAGTCCCTAGCATCAAAGAACTTGACAAAGAGTCCATCCACGAGGTAGGACCAACCTACATCATGGCTAGAACTTGTGGGTCAAAAGACATATTGCATAGGCAACTATACATGACCCCTTGTTATAGTCACAAGAGTAACAAATGCGGAGGCACTATCTCTTTGTACATCATTAGGTTGAAAAAAATATGAACTGATACTGTATTGTAATCGAGTCAATAGCACTAAAAAAGAATAACAATGTATAATAGTGGCATATAATATTCTTGGGCATAAGAACCTACTTATAACTTCGTACATGTACAAACTCACAATATTAACCGTCTACAAGATACCTGCAAAAAAAAATCTGTAACTTTTTTTCGATTGAGTTTCCACATTAAAATATCTCTTCTCATCATTGCTTATTTTTAAACCATCTCGCTAAATATGATGAAGCCTAAACAAAGTTTAAATTAGATATCTCAATGTCACAACCCTCCAAATTTTGGAAGATATCAGTCCGTGAGATTTGATATCTTCATCCATCATGGACCACCCACCCTCGAATGTCACTGAGAACAATATTAGATTTAAGGCATCTTCAAATACTTCCATTTTGTATTTCAAAACTCATAAATTGTAATTTTTCTTGATCTCGAAACATCATATCAACCTAACGTAAACACCCTCTTTGGGAATAGTTTGTTATTCTCACAAGTTCATTCATACTTCATATTCTACCTTTACGTATCGTAACGGACAAACCATTACTCCAAAAATCCTAGTTTGGTCATACTACGAAGATGAATGAGAAAGTGTTGTATTATCATAGAGCAATTATAGGCAATCTTAACTGAAAACTTCAAATCCTTGGGCACGAAAGCTTGAAGTGAAAACTGAAAAAGGGGCAGCACTGTCGAAACTAATCGAGTCCAATAATGGTAAGATGAGTAGATTCTGCTTATTTACATCAATCAATGGAGGAAAGATTAGAATCTACTAATGAAAGGAAGTGGTAAGAAAATTGTTGTTTGACGATTGCAAACTTAGATGGGTAAGGTTACTACTAGCAGTGACTTACATTGACTGTTTCATCAGAAACGAAAACCCTTGAGGATGCATATGCTTAGAGAGAAAGAGAATGTCGTGCACCTAATTTCTGCGCACTTCCAACCGTGTCCTCAGCAGAACATATTTCGGGTGTATTCACAAGTGTGGTCCACACTCACAATCAATCAGTCACAGTCTCGGGCACTTCTGGTTGCCCAGAGATAACAAGTGCCATCAGACAAAATCTGAGATTTGGTGCTACTCAGTATTTCTTTTCTGTTGATATATATTTAGTCTTTTTTATTATTGCATAGTATCACGCATGACGGAGCCCTGGACCAAGACTGTGATGCGCTTAGCACTGTCTGCTCGCATGCTTGTATCTCCTTTAGATCCGCTCTGGATGAAAAATTCATATTCAAGACACCCAAAACAAACAAGTAAATGAATTACTTCCAGATCGGTTCTGGGGCATGCATTAAGGATAATTGAAACACATAAGACTCATTTGGAACTAGGAAATGTTGGGAAAAGAAAAATATGAGATGAAAATGGGGGGAATGTTTTTATTGGAAAAGAATAGGTTCTTACTCAACAAATCAATGTTGGATATTTTTTCATATTCGTTTTTAGAGTTGGGATTATACCGTGTTTTATTGCAATGTTTTTTTTGTTTTCCTTTCGTGTTTCTCAAAATAAAACCAAACATAAATAAGTAGCTTTCCTTGCTACTTATTTTGTCATTTCCTTTCCATAACATTTAGCTTGATCAAAATATAGCCTTAGTGTCATATGTAAATAATGTAATTGGAAGCAGATGTATACCTCAATAGGGATATCTGCAGAAAACCACCTCAGTAGAACCCCAAGATGCACTACTGCAGGAATCAGTTTGAACAGTAATGGAGTTGTTACCTGTACAGTACGGAGTATAATAAATTAGTGTAATAGATAACCTGTGAGCAAAACTGTCATATGCTGAGTATTTAGTACCGTACTTATTGTAATAGGTTCAGATAAAATAATAGGAAGGAGAAAGATTTCTGTACCAGGCTAAGAGCTGTGGTACCTAAAAGCAGCATGTACAGTTTGCCCTGCAACCGTAACCAAATTTAACCACCCATCTAGGGTTCAATTGAACAGAATATGATCGCGTCTTATAATTATTCCTAAAACTTTCACAAAAGCTAAATAATATCACATGCATTAGTAAACAGAATAGGGGTCAACCACAAAACAAAGTACCTCAACTAGATGAAAATTTGAAGCACGGCCTAGAAGAACAAAGGCAAACTCCCCAATTTGCGCCAAAGACATTCCAACCTAAAAGTGAAGCAACACACTCTTTTACACACACACAAACCTAACACACTGAAAAACTTCAGCTTTCATATATTTTGAGCAAGGGTCAAGTGACCAATAAAATAAAAGACTTACAAGAAGTGAAGTCTTGTTGTTGTAACCAAAACACTTGACCACTGTTGCAACCACAATGGTTTTGAAGACAATTACCAAAATAACGGATGCGAGTAGGATATCAATGTGACTCCACAGAAAATGAACGTGGATAAGCATGCCAATACTGGCTAAGAAAAGAGCTGCAAAGAAGTTCCGGATTGGCTCAACCTACAATAGTTCCACGACATCACTAAGAAAAAAAAGACCAGCAGGAAGCTTTTACATAGAAGTAACCTTGGAAAAGTTTCATTATTCAATGGATAGTTGAATACAATAACGAGAAAGGAGAAAAGGAAATGAAACCTGATCAAGTGTATGTTGAGCTAAATCTGTTGTTGATATCATCAATCCAGCAGCAAAAGAGCCCAATTCAAGGCTAAGACCCAGCTTATCACTACACTGATGACAAGATATAAGAAGCCTACTTTAAATATAACCCAGCCACACTGTTAACACACTATGAAGTCTGAGCAAATCATATTGAATAGCATTTAAGTTTGAGCTCAGCATATTGTTCAACTAGCATGTGCAAAATAAACAAAAAAGAACGATGCAAAGGTTTAATTAAAATAATAGTGAAAATAGGCATGATATCTTAAAAAGAATGAAAACTGTGATGTAGTTAATAGAAATAGGAAATGAGACAAACCCAGGCAACAAGCAAGCAGAAAGCAACAGATGCGAGCTGATATAGTTCATGAGTCTGCAAGAATTTTAGTAAAAATAGTCAAGCAAACTATTACGTGTGCAGTTGTGCAGACCATGGGTCATTAAGATGTCAAATCACCTGTGATGATAGGCCTATCATCAGCCTAAGAAACCAAGGCACACATGTGCGGCAGAATATTGACAAAACGACTAAAAATGTAGCCAACGTCACAAATCTGTAACCCAAAAAACTATGGTAAATCATGGACACGGCAAAAAAAAATAAACTGTATTTTTTTGTGTTTTTGTTGTGTCAATGTAAAGCTTTATCAACTACTACTTACATTTTTCCCATGGACATCAATCCAGGAAGAACCCCAGAAGTACCACCCAGAATTGGAAGCAGTGCAAATAGTAAACCTACCATACAGTCCTGACACAAAGAGTCTACTTCATATTTTTATAAATGACAGCATAGCATAAAAATAACCAAAGCACTTCAAAAGTTCAATTTAGTGCACATTAATGGTGAAATCTTGTAAGGAAAGATAATGGTTTTTTATTAAAACCTGTAGAATAAGGGTTCCAATGGTAACTTGTCCGTAAAGCGTAGTGATATTATTTCTCTCCATCAAAAATTTCAATACCTGTAAGTTTAAAGATATATTATCCCTCTGTAGCCAGAACATTCACAAAAAAATTGCAATAGCATAATATTTTAACAAATATTCTATGTTGTTTATCCGAATTATTAGTTAACAAGTTAAGCAAATATTAGGTGAGTAAAACAATAGAGCATGTATTAAGACTCTAAGAGAGCTACTATTGACTTGCAGGGTTAAAGAGAATTGTTTCTAAAGTTTTATTTTATTGGTGTCTCAAAGCTGAGAATCATTTCTTTGAGAAAAAATATGAAGCCTAGAGGCATTTATAACAGAAGTATCTCAAGGTTCCTTCTAGTACCAGCCAAAGCTTGAATTATAAAATATACACTAAAACAATAGGAACTCAGGAAGAAACCCAGTATAACCCCAAGTCCCAACTCCATTGCGGTATGGAGGTTAAGATGTACACAACATCACCCCTATAAAAATTATAGATGTTTACTAGTTTCCAACTTTCCATAAGACCCTTGATGCATTTGCAGCCGAAATTTTAACAAAAAGTACTCATCGTCCCAAAATAAACATCACACTTTCATTTTCCGTCCGTCCGTCCCAAAATAAACTTCACACTTTTCCTTTACCTAATAAGGAATGAAACATGTGGATCGCAAGTTTTCTTTCTCCTCTAACAAATGTCAATACTTCACACTTCTCCTTTTCCTAATAAGGAACAAAACATGTGACTCGCAAGTTTTCTTTCTTCTCTAACAGATTTCAATCACACTTTTTATTTCAGCATGGATGGGGTAAGAAGCATGTGAAGTGTAAAGAGCCATTTTATCTAGTTCTTATTTACGAGAAGCTAAAAATTTGTAAAAATGACTCTTGTAAAATATACACCAAACATGCAAATCTACCATAAGTCTGAAACAAAGCTACTATGCATGCCCTTGTTCTTGAGAAACAGTGAATAATAGGTTCAGTTTGTCAAATAAATTTGAAATTGCACTCGAGTCTGGGCCATATTACAAAATCCCATAGATTTGATGAATATTATTAATAGTAAAACTTGCCACTGCAGTTGAAGACATTGACAAGAACACACCAACAAAAACACCCTCGGATGCTTCTCCTCCACACAACTGCAAGTATCAGAAAGCATCATTACAAATTTAGAATATATGTATCTGAAGAAATTAGGAACCAAAATATTGTAACAGTATTCAATCAATGTTTTGAGGAATGCAAAATAGCTAAGGATGTATAGCAGAAATATTTATTCAGCCTTAGTTGAAACTATGAATCTTCACAAAGAGATATCAGAAGAAATAGGACAATATTACCAAGGCTGTTATCCCGCACAAACACATGAAAAGACATATCTGGAGTAACCCCCCTAACAAAGCAACAGCTCGAACAACACGAAGCTGCAGTCAAAAAATCCTATACATTACATTGTTAACATTATATACTCCCTCCATCCCAGAATTAACTTCCCATACTCTTTTTTTTCTGGTTGTCCCAAAATCAACATCATATTTCATTTTTTGGGCATGCACCTTTGACTTATACCCTCAACAACCTACATATTTACTACTTTCAATTCACTTTTACCAAAGCCAAAGTAGTAGACATGCACATTTATATAATTTTCTTTTCACTCTTAATCTCCGTGACATTTTCACATGGGAAGATAATTTTGCAATGGAGGGAAAAGCAATTAGTGTCCTATATGTCAGTGTGAAAACCAATTCTAACCTTTGCTGTGGAAAACTCTAAACCCAGTGCGAAAAGAAGGAAAATAACACCAAATTGGGCAACCGTTTCTACCTGCATGATAAAGCCATTATTCACTATTTCACTGGAAACATAATTAGGATGTAAAAATGTTGAAGAAGAAAATGAAAAGAAAGCAAACAACTTAAAAGAGCATGTGAAAAAAACAGGTAAGCAGAAAAACTGATACTGGACAACTCAATACAAACTGCATAGTACTAGAATTCAGAATATATTAATAAAAAGACATGTGTCTTGTGATTAATAGCGGTTTTGCAAATCATATGCTAGACAATGCAATTCAGAATTCAGCTTAGAGTTCAGTTCTACACTTTCAGCCAAAAACATAATAATAACTACAGCATTAAGACATACTTGAACCATTTCACTAACAAAGTTTAACCCTCCAGGTCCAATAATGGATCCAGCTAGCAAATACCCTGAGAAAACCTGCAGGGGAGCATATGAGACATTCTTATTAGACATACGATGGTATTTACACACAATAATCCGTTTAAAGAAAAAGGTAACCACTCATCAACAAGCAAAATGAGGTGAGCCCTAACAAAGAATACATAGAGATCATACTGGTTGTCCAGCACAAGCGAAGGCAATACCACCGCAAGTTGCAGAAACAATCACAACAACAAGATCTGATATTAATCTGTCAAGACTCAAGAGCAAAGAAAATATTCAGATCGAAAGATAAGTTACTACTTACTACGTAAGAAAGACCGAGTATGGGAACTAACCTTAAATCAAGCTGCAAGACAGGAAATTTGGACTTTGGGTTGGAAATGATAAAGACATTGTCCTATGAAAACAATTTAACAATGATTTATGTTGAATACCACTTCAACAAACTAGAGTCCATAATCATATTTATGCACTTCCAGGACCAATTGCAAAGACAAATACCACAGAAGAAACAAGCAAATCATATGCTGTATATAAGTATTGAAGTACCTTTTGATCTATCAATGTTGGTGTATCTTCAGCTCCGTTGTCATCCAAGTTGAAAACATTATGCAGCTGAAAGGACCTTGTACAAAATTCCAAAGGTGTAGTTGGATCTTTTAGAGAATACAAGAGTGGTAGTAGTAGTAAACTGGTAACAATGCTCTAGTAAGATAAACTTGTAATATTAGATCAATGCCGAGATAGTAGTGCATACTTCACTTCTCTTGTCTCGTTCTTCTTGGACTTGACCCTAGCAACCGTTTCGAGGACTGCCTGAGAAGATAAACCATTTCAGAAAGGCCAGCTTTGCTGTACAAATTAGACTTAAATACTGACTTGTACATAACATCAAGAACTAATCCTATGTGTCACATGACAGACCTGCTGCTCTGCCACACTATTGTTGAAGCTCCCATGATCAATTTCTGAATAAATAACATGTAAGTGACTTATATTAAACTAGAATTAAAAGAAAAATGGCAAAATGAAGACATGTTGTGGGCAGAAAAGCCAGAGATTGGTTGGCTATATATGGAAACTGTTCGATTAGTATTAGCTAAATTCTGCTAGTAAAATGCATAGGACATTTAGAGAGAATTTTGAGCCAACGGTGGCAACCCAAACCGGTTAACTTTAAGGAATTTATGAAAGAAAACAACACAGCCAAAAATACCAATTCTCAGTGACTCCAGAATGAGCATTAAGAACTCTAACTATGAAAACGGGAAAGATCCAATGCAGAAGTATTCAAAAGTAAAAATTTCACTAACCACTGGACTGGTCATTAGTCTCATTGAATTCCTTCTCCAGAGCTCGATCAATCATGCCAGCGAAGCTGTCTTCATTAGATCTCGCCGCAAGGGAAATGTTGAATTCCACGCTTCCATTAAAGGCGTCGCTTCCTACTAGGAACTCGGAATCTGTGGCGGAGAAGACGATAGAGGAAGAGCAAAGGACAGCGAATGTCGCGAAGAGCGCTCTTAGCATTTGCATTGTGTGCGTCTGGAGATTTGTCCGGCGACTATCTCGGCCAAAGACAGCTACGCTGCCGCCGTGGATGGGTTTAGGTTCGCGAGTTTAGGGTGGCGGTGGGAGAGGACGGCGGTGGTAGTTGGGAAATGACATGACTCTCATCTTCTAGTGGATTTCTTTTCTTTTTTTGCGCCCAAAATTGTGAAAGCGCCTTCTTTGCTTGGCCTGGCTTATTAGGTGAAAACAAGGTTTGAAATGAGCTCTTACATCACACGGTATGTGTGATTGAAGCAACCAAATTCTACTTGGGAGTGAATTGATTGGCTTTTGCTAAGATGCCCAATTTTGTCCCCCTCTTCATACAAAGTCAGCCAAACTTTTTACACAAACATAATACCCTCAAACATAGTTTTTAAAATAATGACTTAGTGATTGGTTTTAAAGTCAACTCGACGTAGAACATATATTTTTGGTTTCAAAGTCTAAGTAGGAGAATACAATCGACTCCTTAATCTATAAACAACTTACAGGATCAAAGAATCCCTTCACTAAGGATACACCCTTTCGCAATCCTAGAAGGAGTTGGTCTATTTTGATTCTTCATTGAGATAGACCTCTGACATGGTTGAGGGCAACTGATCGAAAAAAAAGCAGCCTCCTGTCATATTGAAAGATAGACGTGGAGATTGGAATTGGGGTGTAGAGTTGTAAGCGCGGTGATGGTGATAGAAATGACACCACGGTGAGATAAAGTGAGATAATCCAATGTGGGTCACCTAAATACAAAATTACATTTTTTTAAATATTGTTGTCTTTTGAAATGAATGACCCACATTGCATTATCTCACAATAATGTCATGTGTGTATTTCTTAAACTTTAGTTCAAATATAAGAGCTAAACTGATGTAATTAAGTCAAATTATTACACCCTTCGTCTCCATTTATATTACCTGTTTCAGTTTATGATGTTTGACTGGAATTATTTTCAAATCATTTTATATGAAAATAGTATAGAATTAAAAAAAATATTATATTAAAAGATCTATAAAACTAGTAGTGACATGGCTATTTTATTACTCCATATCCGTCCCTCTAAGATGTTCTCATTTTGACTTTTGGTGGTTTTTAAGGAGAGTTGAAAAAAGGTGAAAGTTTACCATAATACCCTTAATGAAAAATGAGTGGAGTGTATTAAATGAGGTGGGTGAAGTGTAATAAATAAAGTAAGTGAGGGTAGTTGTGGTATTCTAATGGTTAAAAAATGAAATAAAAGATCAATTGTGGACAAAGAAAAAGGGCTATTGAGAAGATTTATGAGGGACGGAGGGAGTATATCAAATGTTTAATGAAAATAGAGAATGAAAGTGAATGAAGTTTGACTATATGAATAGTAAACATGAAATTTAGTTTAAGACAAAGGGAGTATATTATTATTTTTGGTACAAAATCCATACCAAAAATATTACTGTATTTGAAAAAATTCATTATTTTATCTAACTTTTTTATATTTGAACCACTAATAAATAAACTATTCTCTAATACTATGTTAGTGTTTCTTTGTACTTATAAGATGATCAAAGCTAAGGGATAAATAGAGGTGTTACCCACAACAATTGATTTTTGCGTGATTTTCCTTTCATACACTTTACGATCAAATCAAAAAATCATCAAACAAAAATATGATGGAAAGCAAGGAAATACATAGTTGTTTGGCTTAATACATCCAATTCCAAACAACTGTCTCCAAGCCATCACTAGTTGCCCACCAAACCATAATGATGTTCGACAAACTTAAAAAACTTGATTTCACAAACCTCTTATCGTAGATTTTACAAGTCAAGAGATCTCTTCTACCTAATGTTTGAATTCACAAGCAAATAATATATCGTCCTCCTAACACCATATTTACGGACTACACCATTATACAAAGAAAGAAGTAAACACTAAACATCAAACGAAATGTGAACTTCTAATAACAATATGAATGCTCACAGACTCGCACGATGAGGACAGAACTCAAGCATAAATGGCTATGATCAACAGTGACGATATGCTTCGATTGAAAGGTATTTTCTTTCAATGTATGATCCAATTTTTTCAGATATCCAAACAATTCAAAAGCTAAAGTATCAAACTAAATAACCATTTTTTGGGATCAAATTGGCCCGGATCATAGATAGATCCTTTGAATCTGATATTTCTAAACAAACCATACTCTAAGTACATAGCACTTCACAAAAACATACAGGTGCACGAACACACAAACAAATTCAGATTTCAGTGTAGAACTACTACTACTAGCCATGGCTACTAATAGGGGTGTTCTTGTTTAGGTCCAGACCGAAAAAACTGACCGAACCGGATCGATATGTCCAGACCGAACCCGGACCGAATTGATTTCGGGTCGGTCTTCGGTCCTATAAATTTAACATATCGGGTTTTGGTCCGGTCCGGTCTAGATCCGATTCAGAATCGGTCTGGACCGAATAGACCGGAATAGCCCATTTAATTTTCAATCGGTCCAAGAGTGAAGAAGTCCAGTCCACTATACAAATCCAATTTTTATAATCCAAATACGCCAAACACCCATCTCAATTCGGTTCCAACCACCGATGCTTCTCATTCACAGTCGGCCGACGATTCTCATGCGATTCTCAGACGGGCGACGGCCGACGGCCGACGATTCTCAAATTTCATATCTCCTTCTTGTTTGAGTTGTTTCGAAAGGCTTCAATCGAATCTGCGAAGGTACGATTAATTCCTCAACAGTCAGCCATCTCTAATCTTTTTTACCGTCATCTTCTTCTCCAGATTTCCAGGTAATAAGCATGGATTCGGTCATCTCGGTCTTCCCGGTTCGGTCCATGTGATTTCGGTGTGGTCCGGTCCAAAACCAAGATCATTTAGGTCCGATCTTCGGTCTAAGTTTTGGTATATTTCGATCTTTGATCTGGTCCGGTTCGGTCCAGTCCAGTCCGGTTTTAGACCGATGAACACCCCTAGCTCCTAATACACACTTTGGTTTTCTTTCCTTACTTGAATAGGCGACAAAGAAGTAAAAAACACATGTATATCTTTCCTATAGAAAGTAAAACATCATTGTTTGTTATTGTTATGAAACTACTTTTGCCTCAAACCTGTCTTGCATCAGCTTATTCTTGACAATCAATATCTTTTCCAAAAGAAAAATGCTAGGGATACACCAAATGTGTACCCCATTTATCCTCCACCCCCACCTTGTCCACAAAAAAAAGCAAGCAATTCAAAAAAAAAAAAAAAATAAAAATGGGTAGTGGTGTACATTAGTGTACCCCTAGCATTGCTCTTTTCAAAATGAAAAGAGAGCATCACTGTTTTGCAACACCTTAGACTCTGTAGAAAAGAAGTTTTAGTCTTATCATAATCATACATATATATATATATATATACCTCTTCCAACTCCAAAAGAATGTCACATTTGTTTTTTCAACCATCACAAAATTTTGTTTGTTTATACATTTGCATTGAATATTTAATAAAATAAAATATTCTTAGACATCTCTTATTTAGAAAAACTTTTAATATATCTTCTAAATATGTAAATTTATTTTTTTATTTCTAGCCAATATTTAAATAAATAAATTGAAAAAACTTATATTTTATACCTCAATTTAAGAAATGTGGCAAACAAATATGGACGAAGGGAGTATATTTGAAACAAAAAACAGATTATCAATAAAAAACACAAATAAAAAACGTCAAGGGCCTAGAATAGTAAACAAGAAAGATTTCTAAAAGGCAAGAGTATTTTTCACAAATATACTAAATAACTCATTTATCACTCAAGTGAGTTTCACAGAAGATGATTCAACAAGGTAGGCATATTAAAAAACGTCTCCATACCATAAAATGATCGCTAGACACCCATAACTCTTGACATGAATCATAAAACGCCTATGGTATAAACAAAGGGAAATCAAACACAAAGACACATCTTTAAAAGGACAGTGTGGCAGACAGAGATTATTTATTGATGTCTGAAATCAAAGGCAGAAATCTTCATTATCAATTTGAAACAAAACTTCATCAAATAACAAAATAACTAGACTCCTTTTAAAAAAGGGGGAAAGGTAACAAGACAACGGTGAAATCCTCATAGCGATGAAAGTTCCCATACCCAAAGGCATAACAAAAGGGAGGAAAACTAACACGCACGCCACTCTCTACATAACTTCAATTTCAGTTGTTGGTGGGGGTACCATTGCCGGTGGAGGCACATTGGTGAAGTCTTCTTCGGCTTTAAGAGGATGAATGGTGACAAGATCTGGAAGAGGAGTCTTTGGTCCATTCTTTCCTTGTGGGTCATGTGCAAGCATGATCTTAACCTTGATGCCCAGTACTCCCTGCAATTTGATTATGATTATGATGATAATTAAGAAATTTATTAGATTACTTACAAATCAAGTATTACATGAAAACACAGTTGGGTCAGGGTACAAATTTTCACGGTTGGGAAGTAATGAAGGGCATCAATGTTAAATACATCATAATTTTTAATTTTAATTGCCACCATGACTAAACTTATCATCATATCAAACTTACATGCAATTCCTGGTGCTAAATATAACAATTGGAAACGTAAAGAGTCAAAGTTTGGGATGACATATAGTGTATAAAACAGTGCACAGACTTCTTCAAAGTTTGGGATGAATAATAAACTTATTACAAAAGAGAATATTTTAAACACACCTGTCTCATGAGGATGTGTCTCACGGCAGTGTCAATGTATTCCTTGACGGGTTGACCAGATGAAATCATGTAACCATCTTTGAACTTCATAGATTTGGCCCTCTGAGCCCTCAGTTTTCCACTGACAATTACCTGAATACAAGTATGTAACAACTCTTTAGCATTAATGAACTCCGAGAAAAAACTTGAATCATTCACAGAAATATACCTCACAGCCCTTGGCTCCACTTTCCATAACAAACCGCAGAACACCATAGCAAGCCCTAAACAAACAAAGAAGATCAAAATATATTAAGACATAAAATTTTTAAATATATTCATATATGGATTTTAAAAGATGTTGCAACCCAAGAGGCACAGAGCTATATGTAGATACCACAACTCTTGAATTACTCTTGGTGAAGCTGTAATAATTTGGTCATCTTCCGACACAACATTGGTATGCACAATGGACCAAATTGCTTTATAGATGACTATTAATTAGAGATAATAAAACTGTGAGCTGTGGCTCACAGGCACTTCATTGGGATTGAACTAAGGTGAAAATGTTTCCTGGCCATGATTACGAATCTGCATTACACAGTTCCAGTTTACTAGCATGGAATGGGAAAATGTTGTTTTAGTCATCATCTGACACAGAACTGATACTGGGAATCAATTTGCTTTGTGAATGACATCAGGTAATGTATGGGAACAAACATTTCATTTGAATTCGAAAATCTGAATTCTTGTTTCAAATGACAGGAGAGGTATATAGATTCCAAAATTCTTAAGGTTCCCAAACATGGGATTTGAGCCAAATTTGGATTTCAAATCCAAATCCAAGTTCCCAAACATAGCATAATACGAATTTAATATCCAACATAAGCACAGAGAATATTTTGAAATATTACATTCTACAATATTGAATGGAGTGAGCTACCTAACATGTACTAGCTAGTGTTTAAAGAAATTTAAGAGAGAATTAAATGCAAATAATTCAATGTGTTTTACCTTCTAACAGCCAAGCCACCAAGAAGCTTGTAGCGCAGAGATTCAGCCTGCGCAATGGCACAAAGACCCCTGTTGTTCACCTTCTCGGCATACAATTCCACGGTGTTCTCCTCAAATTTGAACCTTTTCTGGACAACTGAGGTCAGTTCCCTAATCCTCCTTCCTTTCTCACCTGTTAATGTTGCACATTTCATTAACAATCAATAATTACACTTTAAATTCTGTTTCAAAAGAAGAAGGATATCAAGGAAGAAACATAAAGATTGGATACTGTAAGTGGCAAAATCAAGAAGTAATATAGGAAAAAAAGCGAGACCACGGGAGTTCTATACTGAAGTAATATTATTCAACACAGTTATCACATAAATAAGTAAAATTTGAATAAAAACCCTTAATTTCCATCATATTAATTGTTCTAAAGAATTAAAACATGACAAACATCTAAATCAAACGAAGGAACGACCGCAAAAAAAAACCATCATCTCATGAAAACATATGATCTACAATTTAATGACAGAAATAAAAAAAATCAAATCAGACGAAACTAGATCCTACAGAGGGAGGTTAAGAGAATAACCGAGAACATTCTGAGTGCGAGTAGCACGGATGATGATCTCCGTCCTAACGGGAGTGACACGGACCTCGACACCGGAGTATCCATCCTCAGCAAGCTCGCGCGTCAAAAGCTCGTTCAGCTCGGCGTAGAACACGCCGTCAGCGACGAACTGCAAACACAGAACAACACCGATCACGTGTGAATGTATGTCGAGCGTAAATTATCCAAGGAGGAAAACATATAGGTAAAACTAACCTTTCGCTTCTTGCTCATCTGAGTCGCCATTTTCACAGAGAACCGGAGTGTGCGGGGGCGGCACTAGCAGATGGCGGCAGTTTAATCGGCGGCAAGAGGAGGCGGAGGCAAGCCAGGGTCGATTAGGTTATATTGGCCTCCGGATAGGGTTTCTTCGGATTTATAGGGAAATGAGGGCTTGGGTTTGCAATTGAAGCCCGTCATTTGGGTACTAGCGGGCCTGGTTTGGATCCAGTAACGAAATATTTTGAGAGAGACTGAGTTTTTACAAGTTAGTCCACTCACTAGTTATTTTTGGTTCCTTAAAAAAATTTTGGAGTGCACTACAAAATGTCATTGAACTTTTGTTCTCTTCATCAAAATTATCCTTATGTTTTTTTGTTTGTACAACGTTTTTAAATTAGTTATAATATTAAAAATGCCAATGAATTATATAAAATGATTAAAAAATAATTCTCGCTACTTTTTCCTTTTTCAACAGTTGTGAATATAAGTGTCCCACGTAAATAGCCAGACATGTCTCATTAAAATATCACAAATGGGGGCATGAGAAGGGAATTGCTTATGACTTACCGTGTTAGGCAAGAGAGAATGGTTAGAGAGGGTGAGGAAAAACGGAAGAGGTGGTTTGGAGGGGAATAAAATACTCCTTTTTAAATATTTATGATTAGTATATAATGAAATACGGAGTAATTAATATGATTGGTTAAAAATAAATTAATTATATTCAAATAGAGATTAAAAGGAGGGGATTGATTAGAGTGAGGTAAAGATAATAAAAATAAAAAAATTGATTTACGGAGTTTGGCCTGAATTATTTCAATTGAATTTATTTGATTACATGAGTAAAATTAAAACAAAATTATTTATTTGAAGACTACATCTAAATTCTACAAAGTAAGAGTAACATAACAATACCATTCTATCAAATTACTAGCTAAAATAGATAAAGAAACTGATCAAAATTTGACTATGTGTATATTAATTCAGAAGAAACTTTAGGAGAGTTGTAGTATATTTTTAGTCTATATACAATTGCGAGTTCTTGTTAAAAAGTTTTTATTCTGAAAATGTTCATTAAACATAATTAGCACTTTCAACAAGTGGAGATAGTGTGCTAGTTTCACACTCAACATCCCAATATTACATTTTTAATTACTTCGGGTACTTCTCGAGCCTTTAAACGCATCTTTATTTCTTACTACGTCTCCATTTTCCAAGGAATGGAGTACAAGCACGACAACTCTTTGCATACAATATATACCCTAACCATGTGAATATAGTAAAAACTATATTGTTTGCTTAGGATGATAATGGAAGAACACTTACAAAATGCAAAGAATCGGCAAGGAAAAATGTTGAACAACTATTTGTTCGTCTAAAACATAAATGGCCCATTATGCAAAACCCAGTACGTGCATTCACACACGCAAACATAGATATGTAATGTACGACTAAATAATACTCCCTCCGTCCCCTAAGATGTTCTCATTTTGACTTTTGGTGGTTTTTAAGGAGAGTTGAAAAAAGGTGAAAGTTTACCATAATACCCTTAATGAAAAATGGGTGGAGTGTATTAAATGAAGTGGGTGAGGTGTAATAAATAAAGTAAGTGGGGGTAGTTGTGGTATTTTAATTGTTAAAAAATGAAATGAGAAGATCTATTGTGGACAAAGAAAAAGGGCTATTGAGAAGATCTATGGGGGACGGGGGAGTACTACATAACATGGACCTCTAAAATAAATGTCGTTAATATGCAAATGCAACTTGAATGATATTAATGAGAATGTTTAACTTGTGAATGTAACACGACATGAATGCAATATGCATGCATTACACAACGCTTATACACACCTAAACCTCCATGTCAATTTTGTTGAGTATATTTAGAATTTGATTCATGACATTCTTGATGATGAATAAAGTTTTTGTGTACTTTTAATTTTTTATTGTGTACTTTTATTTTCCTTACACACTTTTTTGTTTAAATAACGCTCTTTGAGTTTAAATAAAGAAAAAATAAAATATTATAAAAGTATTAATAAAAAAGGATGGGGCTTTTGGGACAGAGTGAAACACATCCCTGAATGGTGATGGAAAAAAGATAGTTGATGTGGCGTTAGATAGGACAAATTATATGGTACGATACATCATGGAGAACTTTTAGCTAAAAAATATTTCAGAATGAATACTACGATAAGTTGTTTTAGAATAAACATTAAATTGTTTCAAAATGAACAATACGTTCTTTCTGAATGAATATACAATAGGCTTTAGAATAAACACTACAATTGAAATGAATATTTTATCAATTTAAAATAAATATTTTATTGATTCAAAATAAATATTCATCGAGTATATCAACTAGGTATGCGATATACATTCTTGGCACTAGATTCGCAAAGGAAAATAGCGGAGATGTGATGAATCACACCCACTAGTCAGCTTGATAGATGAGCAATCATGCAACTTTAGTGATAAAAGTTGTTGCGTGTTTGAGTTTTAGCCTTTGTTTCGATGTACAGAAAAGGAGAAAAAAAAGATCAGATAATTGTAGTAGAGAAAGATGTATTTCAAGACATTTTATTTTGTATCCATAAGAAAGAAAATGAGAGGAAAGATGGTTTAAAAAATTCTCTTCTCTTGTGGGAAAAATATGCAGAAACCAATCAGTACTCATTAGTTGTATTTTTTTTCTGTTTTACCTTTTTATTCTCACATTTTCTTTTAATTTTCTCCTCATGTTTTATTCATTCAATTAACAATAATTTTCTTTTCAAACTTTCCCCTCTCATTTATCTTTGTTGTCACTTCCCTCTCCTAATCCAAATGAATGGTCAAAACAATTTCTTTTTCTTTATTTGCAAAAAATAAGGCAATCGTTTTTTATTAATTCCCCCAAATATTACTTCGTAGATTATATCTCTATACTTTTTTAAGATTAAAATTCATTCTCTTAAAATAACATACTCGTATAAGGCATCAAAAGCCAATCTAATTTTAAAAGTTATTTGTAAAGTCTTTGTGGTTTCTTTGTAGAGCAAATACGTCTTCCTACCAATTTTTAGAATTAAAATGACATTTATATCCTTTCTTTTTCTCTTTCTTGAATTTTTACTTTTTTATTTTCCTTTATTATATAAATAATCAAAATTAAATAGATTCTTTCAAACTCAAATTAAAAATTTTCATTTATATATTTTTGAAAACAAAAGGTTTTTTTGGAGAATGTTACAAAAGAAAATGAAAAATAAAAAATGAAATAAAATATTATGTACAAAGTAAAAGAAAAACATAATTGAAAAAAGTAATGATAAGAAACAAAAAAATAAAAAACTCTTTTTCTCTTACTCAGTGTTTGTTTCATATTTATGTTCTTCATATTTTTGAAGTCCCAAAAAAATTAATTTACTTTTAAAAAACAAATAAGTTAAAATTTTTAATGTAAGATAGAATGAGTATTCCGTATGTGTTATCTAATTTTTTATTTTACTTTTACATATTTTTTTAATTTTTCATTTTCTTTTGTAACGTTTTCTAAACACATTATTTTGTCTTGAAAAATAAACAAATGAAAATATTAATTTGAGATCGAGAGCGTATATTTTATTTTATTTATTTGTATAATAAAGAAAAAATACAAATAAAAGATTGAATCTTGAAAATAGATGAAAAGAAAGAGCATAAATGTCACTTTAACTCTAAAATAAATAAAAGGAGGCTTATGCACTATTTAAAACCCACAGATTTTTTACAAATGATTTTTGAAAATAGAACGAGTTTTGGCACTTTGCTTGAAAATAATATTTTTCAATTACTGTTAGCACTTTGAATATTTTTTTACAACATAAAGAGTACATGTTTTATATAATTTTTTTTAATGATAAAATTGTTTATTGTAACAACAAAATTGGCTCTCTCTTCAATTCCAGCCAGCCAACGAACGCAATTGTGTTCTCTCTCCCTATACGTGTGTGTATATATATATAGACTCCAACCCACTCCCTCCATTTCCTCCACTGCTTTCCCTTTCTTCTTCCTTAACAGAACTCTCCTCCATACTCAGTATAATATCTCCAAAATATTCATCACAGGCCCGAAATGGATCAGCCCAAATTCGTCATCGAAGCAGCAGAGGCCGAGTCCATGGCCAAATCATTGGGCCTCCCTTCCGTCCAACATCTCCTCCCGCTCCTGGTACGCCCGGCCCAGCGCCTAGCCAGACCCCCGATCTCCAACTTCCCCGTCGCCGCCGTGGGACTCGGCTCCGACGGTCGCGTCTTCGTCGGCGTCAACCTCGAGTTCCCCGGCCTCCCTTTACACCACTCCGTCCACGCCGAGCAGTGCCTCGTCACCAACCTGTCCACCCACCGATGCCCGAGCCTGATCGCCTTCGCCGTCTCCGCCGCCCCCTGCGGCCACTGCCGCCAGTTCTTCCAAGAGCTACGGCACGCCTCTTCCCTCCAGCTACTCATCGCCTCCGACTCCGGCGGCGAATCCGATTTCAAGCCCTTATCTGAATTCCTGCCGCACCACTTCGGCCCCGACGATCTCCTCGACGACGAAACCCCCCTCCTTCTGGAGCCTCACAACAACGGCCTAACCCTAACTCCGACCGTCCCCGATTCAAATCCAGAAACGAATCTCCGGTCCCCAATCAACGGATTTCCCGACAAATTCTCCTCCGATTTGGAGGCCGCGGCGCTGGAGGCGGCGAACGAATCGCACGCGCCGTACACGCATTGTCCATCAGGGGCGGCATTGATGGATTGCGAAGGAAAAGTGTACAAGGGGTCCTACGCGGAATCGGCCGCGTACAATCCGAGTCTGGGGCCGATCCAGGCAGCGCTGGCGGCGTTCGTGGCCGGCGGAGGAGGCGGGTACGAGAGGATCGTGGCGGCGGCGCTGGTGGAAAAGAGGGATGGGCAGATCAAGCAAGAAGAGAGTGGTAAGATGATGTTAAAGGCGATTTCTCCAAAGTGTGAACTCAAAGTGTTCCACGCCACTTCTTCTGGTTCCCCGAAATCTGTCTAGAAGAAGAAGGAAGAAGAAGAAGAAGATTCATAATCGATTTCTTCCGCATTCTGCAACTGCAAATCCAGAAGCATCTTTCACATTAAGAGTTAAAAATTATTAATCGCCAAAAAATAATAAAAGATGCCCACACGGCAGCGTAGCTGTTTGTTCTTTGCCACTTTTGTCCTATTTGTGAGTAAATAATTGCTCTCTATGATCATTGCTTCTACGAAGCAACCTCTCCTACTGCTACTACACCAGATTTGATCACTTTTTTTACGCCAAAAAAGAATTTTACAAATAATCTCTGTTTTTTAGAGACATATAAACTCCATAGGTCACATAAAATACTCTCTTTGAAAAAATGTGTACTTAAAATGAGTAATTCTTATCTTATTTTTAAATTTTATCCTTTGGTGTACAATAGAATATAATGAAATATGTAGAATAGATAAGTCATAATTAAAAAATAATACTCCCTCCGTCCACAAATAAACTTTACATTACGCGTTACGATGTTTGACTGAAGTTATTTTCAAATCATTTTATAAGAAAAATGGTATAGAATTGAAAAATAAAAATTACATATTAAAAAACTATATCAAAAGATCTACAAAACTAGAAGTGACATGACTATATTATTTTATCAAATGGGTGATGAAAATAGGCCAACAAAATGAATAAAGTTTGACCCTGTGAATAGTGAACGTAAAGTTTATTTGTGGATGGAGGGAGTACCAAACTTATTTAATTTCAAAGATGCGATTTCCTTTTAGCTGTCAAAAAAATAATGTCAAATTGGGGGTGAAAGAAGAATGGTCCCAATAGCAACTAGCTGGCAATAGCTCCTCCATGTATAGGGTCGGCTCAGCCTAAGATTTGTTCACAACCTAACACTTTAACTTAAGGGGTTCCATTTTTTAAATTATATTATTCCTTCGGTTTTAGAATATTCTTTCAATAGGACCGCTTGCTCGAGACTCGGGGAAACGGGTCGGGCATTCTAAGGGAACGATGCTCGAGCTTCATTCACGCTCCAAAATGAAATGTCGATGTGTAAACCCCAACTGAACATGTGCATGTTTCATGTTTGGACATACTTTAGAGAAGTTGTACATATATTCGTTATGAGCTTCAATGAAGCTATCCATAACTTATTGTCATTTTCGGCTGATCGTGATCGGTTGGGTTAAGTCGGGCTTGACCATTGGATAGTTCACTCGAGCTAGGACCTAAACGTTGTTTAACGGTGCCAAAAGTAAGAAGAGACGCAATGATCAAAGTCTACATGACAAATGATTGAGACAAGACAAGTAAATGTTATAATAGTGAGGGTTGTACACTTTACTACAATAATCACACATCTATACCACTATCACTTGTCAAGTGTAATTGATATTGATAACATTTTTCTTCATAGACTCTTTTAAATCCCAATTGAGGGATCCTCAATGTAGTGGATGGAGATTTGTTGTTGATTGAACACATGGATCGGCGGATCAATTTGTCACCAGATTAACATCCAAACACAATAATTTTTAAAACAATTCAAAATATTTAATTCAAAATAATATTTATAAATTCATCGGAGAACCAAAAATATTTTTAATATCAGAATATGAATTTTGATAAATGTTTGACACACCTTTTGTAATGACTAATTAAAGCATTTTTGAACAATTAAAAAAACATTTTTCAACTGACTCTAAAATAACTATTATTTTTATATAACTCTCATAAAAATAATTTTGGTGTAAAAATGTTTTTGTCATCCTTACAATATTTCCTACTACGTAATACAAGTCTTCAAAAATCTTCTTCTTCACTCCCGTTAGACGCTCCGTTAGGCGTCTTGGTCTTGATTAAATCATGTGCTTCTTCTTGAATAGTTCAAGGGATTTGGCACTTCAAGTGTTTGTGTTTGTCAATATAGCACTTCATTCTTTACTTAAATAACTCGTGTTTGTCAATTATCAAAATCTGTGAGTCAATACTTACGAGTACAAAAAAGGTTAAACTCATGCATTCCAACTTTATTGCTATGCTTTCTCTTTTTTTTGGTTCAAGATTCTTATTATTTTTCCTTTGATCTATTTTTATTACAATTAAGTTAAGGAAAAATTATCCAAAATAATATCAACTTTACATGGTTTTTAAAAACAATTTCATATATCATTGTGATGCATAATAATTCTAACTTTATAGAAATTTACGAGTTTTGATCAGTAATTAAATACAAATTTCGTGTTACATTAATTTGATAAAAAAATCTTTTGAAAGTGGGAATACTGACTGAACTATGAGTAAAATATTGGGAAAAAACAAAGTAAGAGTTCTATATTTTTTATCCCAAAATAGAAGTAGAATGCCAATAAAGTTGATGTATAGTACCTAAAAAATATCACAGTGTAAATTTCTATTTCGAGTTAAAAACACGAAACTCTTATTTTGAGGATAAGTACTACTCACTCCGTCCCATTTTATAACGCCTATTTCGGTTTACGATGTTTGACTGAAATTATTTTCAAATCATTTTATATGACAAATGGTATAGAGTTAAAAAAATAAATATTACTCCCTCCGTTTGGAAAAACCCTTCCCATTTGATTTGGGGGCAAAAATAAGGAAGTGTTAAATTATAGTTGATTTCCAATTTTGCCCCTGATGTGATGGGTAAAAGTAAGATGTGATGGATAGATTATTAGAGAAAAAGTATGATGTGATAGGTAGGGTATGAAAAAGTAAGGGTAAAAATGGTTTTTTAATTGAAAGGAGAAGTGTTTTGTTGGAAGTGGAAAAAATGAAAGAGGAAGTGTTTTTTAGAACGGATGAAGTACATATTAAAATACTACATCAAAAGATTTACAAAACTAGTAGAGACAATATTATTTTATTTTGTAAAATTGCTAACGAAAATAGAGAAAGAAAGTGAATGAAGTTTGACCCTGTGAATAGTGAACACACATTATAATTTGGGACAGAGGGAGAATATTTTACTCGTATTTGGGGCGATTTAATTTTTGAAATTTTTTGCAAGCTAAATCTAATAAGTTCATTATGTATTTCATTGTAGAGGCTGATTTTGTACAGTTGAAACAATTGGCAGAGGAGTCAGGCCTTAAAGTCACGGATCATGAGATTTGGTTTGAGCTAGTTGGTGGCTTTTATCAAAAGAATAGGATTAAGAGAGTCGGAGATCTTGCCGAACAAATGAAACCCCTTAAACCTAGATACCAAGGCAGAAGAAAGAATACTAGTGATATTTCAAAGATTGAGCGGCTGGGAGCGGAGAATGAGGTCATGAAGGCAAGGTTGGATTTAATTGAGTTCACATTTGCTGAACATATTCGAAGAATGTATGGTGGAAATCTTCCGACACCTCGAGACCCTGATGATGGTATTGGAGGCTCAGAACTGGTTGTGTGGCATGAATAAGTTCTGACATTTATGTGTTTTATTGAATATTGTGCTGTGATTGAAAATGGATTGGATTGAATTGTGTTTTAATGAATATTCTGTTGTGATTGACAATGAATTGAGAAAAGAATTGTGTTTTAATGAATTTTTCAAATTCTGTGTTATTTCACTGTTGTTATTTATATGTTGTATTGTTTCATTGTTATTGTGTTGTTGGTCATAAGGAATTGAGGCAGATTCTGGTTCTGAACTCTGGTGCATTTGCGACGTATTTATCCTGTCGCAATTTCTGTCGCAAACAACACTTTAAGAACGCATAAACGTTTGTCGCAGACTCCGTCGCAATTTGCGACGGATTTAACATTCCATCGCAAATAATTGATCTGGTATTTCCGTCGCCGAGAACGTCGCAAAACCGTGACAGCACCATTATTCTGTCGCAAAGTTCGAAAATGCGACAATTTTTTGCAACGGATTTAGTCCATCGCAAGGCCATCGCAATTTGTTAATCTACGACCAAAATGGAGTGTTTGAGACAGAAAGTTTCCGTCCAAGATTTAGCAAAATTTTGTAGTGATCAATCAACAAATTTTATCATTTTTGACTAAAAAAGTCAAAATTTGATAAAACTCCAAGAAGAGAATAAAATTCCAATGAAAATAATATGAGTCCAATCTTATTAAACTAGAAAGAATAATTTAAATTGAGACGAAAGGAAGAAATATTTTGATATAAATGAATTACAAATTAAAAAAAAAAAGTGATGGGTCAAACACCTGCCCAAATAAAGGCCTAGTGGTGCATGTATGTGATCTAATTAAGGGGGGCAACACCCGTCGTTCCTATGATTGAACAAATCAGCCCGCCCCGGCCCGATGAAGTTTGATAGAACAACAAGTTAATTAAGTTTCCAAATCACACAATACTAATATACTAATTGTATTTGTATGTCTTCTCCCATTAGGATTAAGAATCAAGCTACGCGCATACACAGATATATTTAATTCAGAGATTGATAAAAGCCTTCGTTACGTTCATTATACGGAGTATATACTTTACTAATTCATTCTCAGTATATAGATCCAACACTACATAATCAATTACAGCAATTAATTAACACAAGAATTATGGGTTGGTACGAGCCAGCTGACTGTTGGACGCCGGTGGACGACTTATGGCAGGTCGACAATTCCTGCACCACAATACCTCCCCAACAGACTCCTCCGCCGACGACCGCAAACCGCGGCGGCGATCTTTTCTACATAGAAGTGGACGTGGAATTCTGGCACGGGCTGGCCCCCGAGTGGGAGGAGGAGGACGGCGGCGGCGTGGAAGAGGTGTGCAAGTGCGTGGGGAGAAACGTGGCGAGGTCATGGGAGGCGTGTCCGAGGGTGGAGAGGGGGAACCTGTCCCCGGCGAGGGCGTCTGCGGTTCTGTCGAAGGCGGGAGTGCCCCTCCACAAGCAGGAGGTTGAGAAGGTTGTCTTGGGGGCGGACGAGGTTTCCAATTCCCCGCTGTTTAGGCTGTCCCACGTCCTCCCCCTCCGTGTCTCCGTTAGCCTCTTTGCTTGCCCCTGTTGCCGCATTCACAACAACATATCATCATAATTCTACTATCACCTTATTACTACGTTGTTGTTGTTTTTTTTTTCCTTTCTTTTTTGTGCCTTTTGGATTCATTATTATTGGTCTCATATTTTCATCATCTATATGCCAAAATTGATTTGTTCATTATATTGAATGGAGTTGTTTAATTTGTTAGTTGCAGTTTATTTATTACTTCTCATACCTTCTCTACTCCCCTAATTTACTCTATAATTTTCTTTATCCTAGCTGATGGAGTGAATTATCTCGACTGAAATATCGTTACGTTCTTAGCCGGTCGGCCCGGTCCTCAAGTATATAATTATTAAATGGAAAACACACATACTAAGACAAATTTGATGCTAGATGGTTGAACTAGGAGAAAGAGTGTAGTAATAGTCATTGAAAATAAAAGAATAGGTTAAGTGATGGAAAAAGGTTGAGATGAGTATGTTTGCATGAAGAGATAATGTAAAAACAATTTAAAAAAAGAAACGAGTCAATTTTGGGATACTTGATTTGAAAGTGTGAATTTAATGAATATTGACATAATGCATAAATCGACATTAGTTGAGTTTTAAATGTTTGTAATTAACTAGTTTTAATGGACAACAAATAAATACTTGGTGTAATTAGGATCAATGCATTTTCTATATATCAAGATATGACATTTGATATGATGTGATTTTGTTAAAGAGTAATCCACGTCAAAACTTGAATAGAAAAAATAAATTGGCATATATTGAGTTGAATCAAGTAATTGATTTCCAGTCTTTTAATGTTGTTCAATCCAAGTATCTTAGTGTTCAGTCCGATTAACCACCCCCCTTCCTAAATTCTATTATGAGATCAAATCTAGGTTTTTAAAAATTCTACAGTTGATTGGTCGATCAGCACCGAGCCGTCTTCTGTTGTTGTTTTAGTCCACTTCATTTGTTAAGGTGTCCGTCCAAAAGTTCATTCCTAGCGGGTCATTAGTCTTTAGCTTAATTGTCTGTATGGAAAAATGACATGTGGCCCATGTAACCTGATTATTTGTCTAAAAGTCTATACCCAGCTATTTGTGGTCCTTTAAGGTCCTGTTCCGTTCAACTTATTTTTTCTTATTCTTATTAAAATCAGATCAGATCAGACCAGATCAGATCAGATCTAATCACATCAGATCAGATTAGATCAGATCGAATCAGATCAGATCAGATCCAATCAGATCAGATCAGGACTTATTAAAATCAGATCCCATCAAGAATTATTATTATTATTATTATTATTATTATTATTATTATTATTATCATCATCATCATCATCATCATCATCATCATTATTATTATTATTATTATTATTGTTCTTAAAAATGAAAAAGAATAAACTTTAGAAATAGGTTAAATAGAAAACTGAGAAAGTAATACTTAATTATTAGACGTCGGAAAAATTAGTTTTGAAATAAATTGAGGATGTCAATCTAATTCTACTTTTAAAATATATTTTTATTGCTACTTGTAATTTGAGTTTCTAAACTTTTGATCTTTTATAAGGATGAGATATTTTAATAAAAATACTATATCTTATATATATTGATTATCTAAATTTAATTAATTTTTAATGTATATCTAAATTAAATATTTATTCTAATGTATAATTATAATTTTACAAAAAAAAATCATAAAATAAAAAATATTTTTACATTATAATATGAATGATTATTCTAATATATGAATTAACAATTTTTATTTTATTAAAAAATAATCATTAAATAAAAAATATTGATTATATTATAATATGTGATGGTGTAAATTATCGACTGGTATATCGTTTTTAGCCCGGCTAAAATGATAAACTAGTCTAAAAAATACACCAAAATATAAACACATGAATTTTTACGTGGAAACCCAAATCGGGAGAAAACCACGGGCCTTTTTTGGCGGTACCTTGCCAACGGGGGATTTTTATTAATATCGGGGGTGTGTACACGGTACATAATTTAGGCTAGGAAGCCATTAATGGAGCTTTTGAGCTCTTGAAGAAGAAGAAAAATATATACTCTAAGAACTTTGTAGAGAGAGATTAAATGGGCAGGGAAGGAGTGAAGAGTGTGAATTGGCCTCCCCTTCACATTGGGGGCACCCCTCCTTTTATAGGAGGGGGGAGAAGCATCTTTGGGGAATATTTTCTTATTCCTCCATTTCATTAAACAGGTCCGGTTTGACTGTTCTTCGTAAACAATTGGAAAATGTGGGCCGAGCCACATATTATTTCCCATCAATATGAATTATCATTACAATTTTCAAACGTTATTATAAATTCAAATTAAATTATTGATTTGAAATTTTAAATTAAATCATAACTAATCAGATCAGATCCAATCAGATCAGATCAGATCCAATCAGATTAGATCAGATCATATCAGATCAGAAAAAATAAGTTGAACGGAACGGAGCCTAAGTGTTGATACTTTTGATCCTTTCATTTCTTGGAAAGTAGAAGTCATTTGCAAGTGGTCAAATAGTTAGATTCAAAATGACTTAGTTTTCCACTTGAAAGGAAGTTTTAAAGAATATCTTGCATCAAAACTTAAAGATCAAATAAATCAGTATATAAGTTCTTGAGTTGAACTAAGTGATTATATTTAATCTTTAATATCATTTAAACCAAGTGTCTTATTGCTCATTCCAATAAATCCTAGCTCATCAACATACAAGTTGTGGGTGCTTTCAAAGAATTACTCCCTCCCTGTCACGTCAATACTTTTTTTATTTACTCTGTAAGTCATCATCACCATTCACCAACATTTTTATAATATTCACTTTTAACTTCGCGTCACATTAGTCTTTTTTATTTCATCCTCTATTCTAAATTTAAATATAAGTTTTAAAATTAAGTTAAAATTTGAAATCAAAGAATGAAATTTAAAAAATTGAAGAACATATCTAAACATGAGAAAATTGAAGAACAGATCTAAAAAATTGGAGAATGGTCCTAAAGAAGAAAAAGAGTGAGGAGGTTGATGAGGACGGGAAAACTTATATTTGTCATTTTTTTGTAAAACTTTTATCACACTTATTTTAATATGCAAATTTTATTATTATTCATTTTTGTTTCTTTTTTAAATACGGAGTAAATGAATATTGAAAAATATACAGTAAAATTTATACCCTCTCCGTCCCTAAATAGATTACAATCTTTTTTTCTCTCTCCTCTCGATAACTTTTGTTTGTTTATGCGATTTCATTAAGTATTTGATAAAATAAAATATTCTTGTCACCGCTTGTTTTGTAGAACTTTTGACGTAATTTTTTAATATGTAAATTTTATATCTTATTGATATACCAATTTGTAAATAAAATAATTTCAAAAAATAAAAAATTTCACTCCGTAACCCGCAATTTGTAATCAAATTGGGGACGGAGGGAGTATTATACTCCGTAATCCAATGAAGAACAAATGGAATAGTACTTTTCTTTTATTGGACTTGACATAAAAACAAGCTAGTCTTTAGCTTAAAAGAAACAGACTAGGTTTTTATATACGGAGTAGTTAAATCACGAGCCTGCACATGGCCTATTACTCATGAAGGCCTTTTTAAATACTCGTACGAAGTACTCAGCCTAGGCCTGTTTCGATTTCAAAAAGCCTGAGCCTGGCCTGTAAAGCCTATTTGAATTTTATACTCCATATTACATCTAACATTTTCGTCTCTAATTTTATTACAAATTGAAAGTTACAATTAAAATTTTTTATTTTTTAAAATTATTTTATTTAGAAATTGGTATAAATAATAAATAAAAATTAAATATAAAAAACAACGTCAAAAATTCTGCAAAATAAATAATGTAATACGAATATTTTATTTTATCAAATACATAATGAAAACACACAAATAAACAAAATTTATCGAAAGGAGAAAAAAATTGTGATTTCATTCAGGACGAAGAGAGTATATTTTGTGAAAAATGCTAGGTGTACATCATTTGGTGTACTCCAAGTGTACACCACTACCCCATCATCGCACAATAATTAGTATAAATAAAAAAATTAAAAGTTTATAACTTATATATTTAAAAACTATATTAAAAGTTTTACAAATAAGATGTTACAATAATTTTAATTTTTGAAATAATTAATCAAAATATACAAATATTCAAAAGTTGATGTGATCTTGGAATAGTGCAACATGAAATCCATATAAGAACGGAGAGAGTAATTAAATAAGTTTAGAATGTTTTACAATTTTTTACTCTCTCTGTCCAAAAAAGACTACCACAGTTTAATTTTTTTGTCAAACTGAGGCATCCTTTTTTTACGAATTAAATATAGTTTAATATAATTAAATATTATAAAAAATTGATATTTCAAAACCACATTTTAAAATAAACCTATTTTTACTAAATTTACATTACAACTAAATATACTTTTTTCAAATTTTATGGTCAAAGTGTTACATAGTTTGATAAAAAACAATTGTTTCCATCTTTTTAAGAGAGAGAGTATTTTACAAGTTTATTTATTTATGGAACACCAAGGTTCAAATGACATTGAACCTTAATGTCATAGCATGACCCGGGGCCGCTCCGGTGCCCCGTTCGTAGAATTGACGGTTCCTACCCCCCTAACCCCCCCCGGTAAACCCCCCACCCCGGCCCCGACCCGAACACACCCCCCCACCCCCTTCAATTGCACCCCACAAGTTGATTTTGACTTTGGAGTCAAATTTTGACTCCAAAGTCAAAATCAACTTGTGGGGTGCAATTGAAGGGGGTGGGGGGGTGTGTTCGGGTCGGGGCCGGGGTGGGGGGTTTACCGGGGAGGTTAGGAGGGGTAGGAACCGTCAATTTTACGAACGGAGTACCGGAGCAGCCCCGGGTCATGCTTTGACATTAAGGTTCAATGTTATTTGAATCTTCCCCTTTATGGAATTTCATTTATATATATTTAAAATCACTCTACTTGGACGTAACAATTAAATTTTACGGAGTAAAAAAGAATTAATATGTACCCCGTGGCCGGGCTGAAGCCAGCCACAAATTTCCATATGGGCCGAGTTACGAAATCAAATGATAGTCCGCAGTTTGGCCTAGTTCGATCTTAACTCGAAATACGTAGTAGTTTAGAACATAGTTTTCAGAACCGGACCGGTGACCGAACCGATCAAGATACTGGTTTACTAGTTCACTGGTCGAATCAGTGGTTCAACTGGTTGAACCGGTGGTTTAAACATATTTAAAAATTATATAAAATATAAATAAATAAATATATATGTATGTGTGTATGTATATGTATATGTATATATACACACACATACATACATATAGACGCACACACATTCTCATTTATAAATATCTAAAGAAAATAATTTATAACATTTAAGTAATATTATATTAATATACTTGAGTTATTTTATTAAATTAAAAAATAAAATTTACATATTAAAAAAATATAAAAGAATTATAAATGAAGAGTTGATTTTATTTTTTTCAAATAAGTTGTTTAATATTAAAAAACACGAAATTTTTGCATGATTTGCATTTTGTAATAGTTTCAATAATATCAATGATTTTGTGTTTGACTCATAGCTATATAATATTATATTTATAAAATTGAAAATTTATATACGGAGTACAATCTTTTTTGTAATTATGAAATATTATAAAAGATTATGTGAATTTGTAACAAAAAGCACCATTGCTTGGATGGTTAGGAGCTCAACCAAATGTGTAAGAGGTCTTGGGTTCAAAACCCCATGGAAGCATGTTTTGGAAAAAATCAGCAAGAAAAAAAAAATAAAACTGAGCGGACCGGTCTGACCGGCAGGTTACGGTCCAGTGGGCCGGACTGGACTGGTTGGACCACCGGTTCACGGTTCGAACCGGCCAAACTACCACAATGATCGGTCTAAAATTATTTGGTATCATTTTATTTACTCTCTCCGCCTAAAAAAAATACCATATTGTTTCTCCTTACAATTTATGAGAACTTTTGTTTATGTTTGTGTTTTTGTTGATTATTTGATAAAATAAAATGTTTTTATTAACTTTTATTTTGTACAATTTTTGACGTAATTTATCAATGCTTTTTTTACTTATGTACGCTTTTTTTATACAAAATGAATTGAGACTTAAATTTTTATTTGTTTTATACTCCCTCCGTCCCATGAAAACCTTTCTCCTTTCTTTTTTTATCCGTCCCACAAAACACTTCTCATTTCTATTAAAAAATCACTTTTACCCCTTACTTTTTCATACCCTAACTATCACATCATACCTTTTTACTAATAATCTATCCATCAATGATCGGTCTATGGTTTAGAATCTGGCCAAACTACCACAATGATCGGTCTAAAATTATTTGGTATCATTTTATTTACTCTCTCCGCCTAAAAAAATACCATATTTTTTCTCCTTACAATTTATGAGAACTTTTGTTTATGTTTGTGTTTTTGTTGATTATTTGATAAAATAAAATGTTTTTATTAACTTTTATTTTGTATAATTTTTGACGTAATTTATCAATGCTTTTTTTTTACTTATGTACGCTTTTTTTTTACAAAATGAATTGAGACTTAAATTTTTATTTGTTTTATACTCCCTCCGTCCCATGAAAACCTATCTCCTTTCTTTTTTTATCCGTCCCACAAAACACTTCTCATTTCTATTAAAAAGTCACTTTTACCCCTTACTTTTTCATACCCTAACTATCACATCATACCTTTTTACTAATAATCTATCCATCAATGATCGGTCTATGGTTTAGAATCTGGCCAAACTACCACAATGATCGGTCTAAAATTATTTGGTATCATTTTATTTACTCTCTCCGCCTAAAAAAAATACCATATTTTTTCTCCTTACAATTTATGAGAACTTTTGTTTATGTTTGTGTTTTTGTTGATTATTTGATAAAATAAAATGTTTTTATTAACTTTTATTTTGTATAATTTTTGACGTAATTTATCAATGCTTTTTTTTACTTATGTACGCTTTTTTTTTTACAAAATGAATTGAGACTTAAATTTTTATTTGTTTTATACTCCCTCCGTCCCATGAAAACCTTTCTCCTTTCTTTTTTTATCCGTCCCACAAAACACTTCTCATTTCTATTAAAAAGTCACTTTTACCCCTTACTTTTTCATACCCTAACTATCACATCATACCTTTTTACTAATAATCTATCCATCAAATCATACTTTTACCCATCACATCAAAGGACATTTTTGGAAATTCAATACCAAAATACACTCCCCTTAAATCCCTCATAAAAAGCAAAAGTACCATGTTTCATGGGACGAAGGGAGTATAATGTAGCATTTCGTTTTGGGGCAGAGGGAGTATAACATCAAAACATAATTTTAACACAAGCCAAATGTTCATGAACGATTTAATGAGATGTTTATGCTAAATTTTTCTTTTATAGAGGATGTTAAAGGTGATGTCATCATTATAGTCCATTCGGTGAGTTTTGTGGGGATTATATGATATGATTTCTAATATTTAGGAAAACAATATAAATTTTGAAATCTAAAATAAAAGTGTTTTGAAAATCTAAAATCGTGATTATAAGTAAGAGATAAAGAGTGACTCGGGACGTAGGTGGTTGGCAATAGGGATAGTTGAGAGCTGATGGAAATATCTATTATGGTCTTACCAAACACAAAAGAATCCATAACCAACAATAATCCCATTATTGACAGATTTAAGAACCCATCACGGACAAGTCCTAAGTAGTACACACTCCTTCCGTCCCTCATCAATTTTCTTGTTAAGCGTTACAATGTTTCTCGTAAAAATTTATACGAAAAATCTACAAAACAATGGGTGATAAAATTATACTCACTCTGCCCCCATAATTTTTTTCATACATTATTTACAAGGTCAAAATTAACTGATTTTGTTTGCTTAGTTTTACTACTCATTTCATAAAGTAATATAGTTTATTACTCTTGTTTTGTAGAACTTTTCATGTAATTTATTCACAATATATTAATTTTATTTTTTAAATTTACATCTACATCAAATAAATTAATTTGAAAATAAAGGTTAATAAATCTCGTAATGTGTAAATGGAAAGATCTATGGAGATTGGAGTCGAAGAAGCATTATTTTGTGAAATGAGTTACTCCGTAATTCCGTATAAAAATTAACAAACAAAACGATCCAAATTGATGGCCTGAATAATATATGAAAAGATCTATGAGTGATGAAGGAAATAGGTTATTTTTCTTTATTGAATAATCTTTTAATTCACTATTTAGTGATCAACTCGTGTTTTTATATATTTTTTCTTATTCGAGTAATTTTTAAAATAAAATAAACAATGCATCTCTTATTTAACATTTTTTTTATAATTTTAACTTTTTTAAATTCTACATGAGTATGTTTAAATTTTAAACCAATATTCAAATAAATTAACAAAAAAAATTCAGCAATGAAAAGTAACAAAAATTAAAATGGAGAGGGAGCATGGAATTGTCCAAAAGACAAAGCGAGTAAATGATCCTCGTTCCATCCGCTTTGCTTTTCTAGTCCCTACCCAAACATCACACCTCTCCGTCATTTTCAAGTTTCAACATCACACTACTTCCAAATAACCCCTGCAAAAATCCACTAAACCCTGACATCACTCTAAAGAACCACAAAATTACATGTAACCCCTTTACTTTCTGCTAATTACATAGGACCCCCTCCACAAAAGCAAAAGAAGAAGTAATAACTTTTCAGATTTCGCCCAGAAAGTTCTCCCAAATTGAGTCGTCATCCCCCGCGCCGTTGACCCAAATGCATGACCCGTCGCGCTCGTCCATATCTTTGACGGTAGGTGTTTCCGTTTCCGGAAAATCAGTTTCCACCACCCACCCACGCGCCGCGCGCGCGTCGCTTCCCCACGCGCATCTGTTCTCTCTCCTCAACCACCCTCCGGCGCCGCCGCCGGTGTCGATGCTCGCCATCACGGACGACTCCAGGTCGGAGAAAGAGGAGCCGCAGGACTCCTCGTTCACGTCGATGGTGACGTACGCCGTCGACCGGAAAAGCACCGGCGGCGAGTAGGGATCGTCGATGAAGCGGACTCTGAAACCCTCGTCATGCGGCGGCACCTCCGCCGTGTCCAGAAGCTCGGATAGCTCCGTCATTGCCTCGTCGTCGATGATTAACCACGCCATCGTGTCTCCGCCGCCTTCCGCCTGGGCGGCGCCGTCGGAAATCGCCGACATTTTGCGGCGCTTAAAGGAGTCAGCGGCGTTGGCTCCTGTTTCGCCGGCCCCTTGCCTCTTAACTTTTTCCATGAAGATTAGTTTAGTAGAAACGTTGGTATGAAGAAAGGAGGTTAGTGAAATTGCAGAGATATCTGTGACAGATTACCAGAGAGAAGAGAGAGAGAGAGAGAGAGAGGGCTCTCTGAAGAGAAATATTTCAGGGCGAGCCGACAAAGGGGTAGGAGAGGGAAAAGGTGCATATATAACGACTATACGTTATGTACAATGCTACACCAAAATTTATACACCATTTTATACACGAATGCCACATTTGGTACACGAGATTCAAACTATGGAATTGAAATTGAGTAATTTAATTCCAATTTTGGTATTTGGTAGCATAAAAATTATGTGGATTTGGAATTGATAGTGTAAAAAATAAATTATAATTGGTAGGATTCAATTATATGGAATTGAATCTTATAAAATTTCAATTCAAATTCAATTCTAATTCCGTCAATTTCATATACCAAACAGACCCGAAATGTATCTTAAATATATACTTCCTCCATCTCAAATTTTGATTATAAATTGAGAACTACTACATACAAGGTAAAAATCGAAATTATTTTATTTACTCCATATAAATTACTAAATAGATAAAAATAAAAATTAAATTAGACTAGGTTTCAATCATAGATGATAACGAATGAAGTCCGCGTTTAGTATTTACAGAGGCTCTATACTAAATATAGCTATCTTCTAGCGTAATTGTTAAGAATCAGACTTGAGTATTTCCTCTTAAGCCCTTCTGGCCATGCCAACTGTGCAATGATCATCTGCATAAACTTTAAAAGTCCTTGTCGAATCGTTGGTCAATTGGAGGAAGACATATTTTTGAAAAGTCCATATCATTTTATCGAACATAATTAAATTAGGGTGCTCATGCTTTACAAAAATCGTATGCTCAAAATGCACTAAATTAGTTATCAATATTTAAAAAAAAAAGACGAACTCCATCTCCGAAGGTTCCCTCAGACCCAAACAGATGGTCATCAAGATGAAATAAATTAGACTTTGATCGCATATAGATGACAAAGAGTGAAGCATGCACCTGGTACTTGTAGAGATCCTATGTTTAGTATAGTTGCCTTTCAGTGCAATTGTCAGAAATCGAACTTGGATCTTACCTTCTTGGCACTATTTGCCTTTGCCAACAGGGCAACACCCACCGACCTATCAATATTTTTAATTGTAGTTTCGTGGTCGTGTGCCCCTCTTAATACAAGAGCTTGTAAGTTTGAAACTTGAGACAATTATCTTTTCTAAATTTTTACTCCAGTTGTAATATGCTGGGTTAAAAGGGAATGAAAATAGCTCAAAAAATTGATAGTACTATTTATACCAACAAGATAAATTTTTTTCGAGGGCTCATCACTTAAAAAATCCAAAGTTAAACGTGTTTGAAACTTGGAGCAATTCTGAGATAGGTGACCCACTGGAAAGTTCTTTAGGCATGCACGAGTGATGACAAAGCACGCAGGAAAAACTTGTATTAGTTTGTCGGCCATTCTACAATGCTATGAGCGGACACTTAGGGTGGGGGCGTGGTGTTACACCTTTTCGTCTATAAAACCTTTTTTTGAATGTCCTAAAGAAACTTTCTACTTATTTTATTTCCATATAAATATGTAAATATATGAAAGTAAAAATAATATATAACCTAATTTTTTAAGAACAATTTTCTTAAATTTTGTAAAAATCAAACTAAGAAGATTTTCATGGGATGTGATGGTGTAAATATTCTTGAACGGATCAAGGAGAACTATTAATGTAGCTATCATATTGTCTGATCTGATTTAAATAAGAATAAGTAAATAAGTAATAAGAGTAATTGCTCTTATTACTTATTATTACCCGGAGTAGTTGAAAAGAACGCACTCTAACTCTAGTATCCACTCTTAAATAAGTTATACGGAGTAGATTACTGCTAGAGTCAAAAACTTATGTTTTTAACATTTTACTAGAAATAAAATGTACTCAAATAATAAAAAAAAATTTAATTTAAAATCTTCAAAATGTAAGTTTGTAAAATTTGTGAGCTATTTGTTTGTGACTCTAGGCAAGAGTCAAACGTACCATTAGTTTTATTCAATCAAAAGGAGAAACTGTTAAGGAAATATTTTCATTGTCACACAACCAAAACAATTATTTCGTTCATATTTACCAACCCAAATTTTAGGTATATGAGATTTTAGGCATATTTATCAATGTCATTGTGGTACAAAAGTAATTTTGACGAGTAGAAAAATGCAAATATAAAAACAAAAAAATTCTCAGAACAATAATTAGCATTTTGTCTAAAAAAATAAGAAAAAATGCCATAAATACAAACATTTTGTTGTATAATACTATATTTAATTTGCAAGTATTTATGTTCAGTGCAATTCTTTAAGACTAGACTTGAATACTACCTCCGTCCTATATCTTTCTTCCCGTTGCGCAAAACGAAGAAAAATCCCAAGTTTTTTCAATCTATTTTATTTAAATATTGGTATAGAAATAAAAATTAAAACATACATATTTAAAAACTACATCAAAAGTTCAACAAAACAAGTGGTGACAAGAATATTTTATTTTATCATATAGGTCATGAAAAAATACAAATAAATATAAATTTCCGTAAAGTTAGAATAGTGTTCTGGGAAGAAAATTTTAGGACGGAGGGAGTATCATAAAATCACACAGAGACAATTCAGGTCTTTGTGTTGCTCTATTCTATTGGGTCTCAAGTCAAGGGTTGGTTAGGTATGTGATTGGGGGTAAGGGCTTCGATGTAAAGGCTAGGATAAGAGGATGGAGTTCATGGAGTGTAAGGGATGGAAGTGTTAGGAGTTAGAGCTTATTTTCTTCAACTTATTTTTTATTTATTATATTGAAATTAGGTAAAATAAAAAAGAATTTTAAAGAAAAATGCTAGGGGTACACCAAAGGCGTACCCCATATGTCCTCCACCAGACCCGCCCAATCATTTTAAAAGGCCCTGTGCTATTTAGTACTTTTGACTCTAAACTTTTTAAGTTAAAATAAAAGTTGTGACAATGCAAATGTATCAATATTGGTGATTCCATTAAAAATAATATACAGAGTAATAAACTTCAAGTCCTTTCATCAGTGGAGCGATAAAACCTAAGAATTGCACATGTCGCAATGCAAGTAGTTTGAATAATAACTTTTTCTTTAGAATTTGCTTTTGTTCAAAAAAAAGTTAACTTGCAAGTAGAATCACTTTTAGAATTGAAGGAACAAAATAAGAAATAATTCATTAATAATTAAAAATCAATTTAAAATTGGATTTTTAAAACTGAATTAAGTTCTTAAAACTGAATTTAGGAATGAAAAAAGTAGATCAATTTTAAAACAAATTGAAGATGAAAAAATAGAAGAAACAAAACAGATTAGTTCTTAAAGAATTGAAAATAAAAAATTAGTAAAGATGCAGCCTATAAATGAAAAATCAAACACAATTGACACAAGATTTGAAAAGGAACGTACCGAAGAGCCTTGAAGAACAAAGAAGGTAGAAGGAAGAGTCTTAAACAACTTAATTGACTTGAGATAAACCTATGGGCTTTTAATTTAATTACAATGGGCCCCATCATTTTGGAGGCCCTGTGTAAGAGCACCTCTTGCACTCCTCATTGGGCGGGCCTGTCCTCCACCCCCTCCTTGTCCACTAAAAAAGGCAAAAAAATTTAAAAAAAATAAGTAAATAAAAATCAAATAAAAATGTGTGGTGGAAAAAGGGGTGGTGTACATTTGGGGTACACCTTTTGGTGTACCCTAGCATTGCTCTTTTAAATATAACTACTATAAAATCCGATCAAAACTTAATCAAATCAAGATAGAACTAATCAGATAAAATGAGAAAAACAACTACAATCTGATTTCCAATAAAGAATCCTAGTCTCCTAATAACCTTGGTGTCATGATTTTTAGTATGAGACCAAAGTCATCATGTAAAAAAATGGTGGTGATTTATATTTGTTGTCCTTTTCTTATAGAGGCAGTACAGATTTGAGTGGCGAGGGAGATGGCGGTTTTGGCATGTCAGCATTGGTACAAAAATTTGTTGTTGGGTAGTGCCACCTTTTGCGCCGAAAAGAAAAAACACTGCACCACCACAACCAGTCTGAAAACCAGGCCTGCCACTTGTCCTTGGCTTGCTGCTTTATTTTGTACCAATGCACACAACTCCTAGGGAGTGTACTTGTTCGTTTCTTGACACTCCATTAATGAGAACACCCAAGTTGACACTATAAATAACATTTTGTACAAACAATTGTCACTATTGGTGTCATTCTTGGTGGGTGGGTTTGTAGTGCGACTCGAACAGAGTTGTGCGTTTGTCGCTAGAGTTTTCACACAATGAAACCTCTCAAGGAGTAGAGCCCCCGTAGGCCATAAATAGACCTAACTCAATTCTAAGATATACAACAATATTACCTCAATGCTTCAAAGGCTCTTGTCGGGATATAAGATTGACAATTGATATTTACAAACGAAAAACAGTGTTCGTGTGCGTGAATAGTGATCTTTGGAGCGTAAGTATCAAAAACTAAAAATTGTTCATAGAAGGACCAACCATATTAATCAAGTAGACCATCAAAGGTTAATACAAAAAAAGGAACAAACATTATGCAAGTGAAGGAGTAACAAAAACAACATCTTATTAAGGTTCTCTTCAAACTACAAAATCAAAGGAAACTCTCAAGAAAACATTAGAAGTTCGTATCAAGGTTTTGGGGAAAGCTCCCCTGCTCCAAGTTATCAAACATAAACGCCGGAAGCAAGAAGTAAGAACAATGATCCAAAACCCTGCAGCCATGGAGTGATAATTGAGTTGAGCATGATCAGGCAAACAGAAAATGAAACCACTTATTAGTATTAATCATTGATGGCATACCAAGAACACAGAAGCCACAGCCCCAGTCGTAAGCTCCTTTGCAAGGCTGCGTTTCTTGCTAGAAGATGTAGCCTCATAGCTGCATATGGAAGCCCATATTATTGGTAATTAATCAATAGATGAAAACAAAACAAAAAATTGACACCACTGGATTAGTTTCTTTTAGATCCTAAGAGTCTCTGAGACAAGGACTTCCGGAGCTCAATAAGACCTTGTGTAACTCTTAGCACCCTACAGAGGGTAGAGTTTAAAATGTTACTTTAATTAAAGTTTCTTGATATGTCATGAAATTCACAGCTTTGTTGTAACTCCATTAAAAGAAAAACAAGGATCAACTTCAAGAATGCACAGCTTAGTAGGTATTCAAAGCCATCAGGTAACAATGTGAACTGTGAAGCAAACTACCAGTAGTGACAAAAAATAAGAAACCAAGGAAAGAATCATAACATTTGGTTAACAAAGCTCAAATTTGGTATCTTAACTTAAAAAAAACAAACAATGCATCTTCTAATTTAGCAGTGTGGGTGTGCTGTCTACAAAATACAAAGTTATATATAACGAAGTAAAACAAGAAACAAGTGTAGGTACATTCTACTTAAAGGGTAGAACCCATTGACTTCAGCGATGAGTAGTTAATGGTGGAAAGGACTAGTGTATAAAGCTGCACAGATGAATTGAAGCAATGAACTTTCTAGATATTCTCAAGTCCCAACGGTGCAAACCTCAAAATACAAGCAAATGAAAAACGAAAATACATAGAATAGCTTTACAATATGTTTGGGAACTTGAATTTGAATTTCAAATCTAAGTTTGGCTCAAATTCCATGTTCGGAAACATTAAAATTTTGGATTTGGATTTGAGGCAAATGCCTCTAATTCATAACTAAGCCTAATTTGAAATCCATATACCTCCCATTGTCATTTGAAATCCAAGAGTTCAAATTTTGGAATTGAAATGCAAGAATTGAAATGAAATGTTAATTCCCAAACACTACCTTATACTATTTGTTCCTAGGATTTTTACACGTAAAAGAGAATCACAAGTATTGTTTAAGTAGTACTACATGCCCTCCCAAGTCCTGCTCCATTTTTTACTCCCTGCATATGTGGTTGTCAGTAATTGAACCAAAAAGAAGATATGATAGCTTATACTCACAAAAAAAGCAATTCAGATGCTTCTGTAGACATTGATGATGCTTATTATATCACAAATCAATTATATCACAAACCAGAAAGGTTTCTAAAGATTTTAAGGGAATGAAATAGTCTTGGAGGATCAAATAGACCACATTCGGTTCCTCACATGAAAACTGATGTAATATTGTAATCTAATCTATCTGTAAGACATAATGCATGAAATGTGATCAAATCTAAACCTACACTAAAAATGTACTCTCTCTCTCTCTCTATATATATATATATGTATGTATATATATATATATATATATATATATATGTATATATATATATATGTGTATATATATATATATATATCTGTGTGTGTGTGTGTGTATCCAGATTGTAGGTGATTTTAGTGTTACCGGACTATTTTGGTAATTGGGATTTACTTTGAGACCAGACGTGAAATCATACTCGGTAATAGACATTGATAGGAGTTCGGAGGAGTGCAGGGTTCACTCGTTCAATAATATTATGATTTCAAGTACTTAGAAACATTTACGGAGTATTACTCCTAGAGGAAAAGCCATTAAACTGTTGGGGGGTGGGGGTGGGGGGTGGGGAGGGGGTTAGAAGGGGGGACTGCCCCTGATAGTTGGGTCCAATGGGAGGTATCCCTAGGTGGGGTCTAAGTATTCAAATACTGTAAGCCAATATTTGAATACTTCTCACGCAGATGTGATGGTTCATCCCAACATATGCGTTTGGTCGGATATGTGCTATATAAATGCATGCACAATGGTATGTTTTAGACGCAGAATCATACATATTTCGTTCTTGAGGATTTCTTCTTATCTGATTAAAGAATTTTTGGAGTAACACTGAAATTACTTTATTCTAAAAATGATTCACGATTCGAAAGTCTATCCGGCTACATTCCAAATTCCATATTTGAAAGAAAATTTCAACACTGATTTTGTTGTACAGTACTCCTTCTGGGACGTTCCCTGATCATATATACGGAGTAGTAAAAAAATTGTTTCGAATGATCAAAAGTATCCCAAGCATTGTTTTAGTCAATGAAAGACAAGCTAATTCCTAGGATTTTATTTTAGCCTCATCGCTTAAATTTGAACTACTTCGGAAACTGGACAATAAAATTCTTAATTACATTGTTATTATGAGCTACCAAACTACACCCAAGATCATCATTTTTTAAAAGGCCTTTAGATATCTAGGTTCAAATTTTAGGGTTTCCAGTCAATCTTGATATACAAATCAATTAATCCTAATGCAATCAAGCATGCCACAAGCATTCAAGATGAAAAAAAAAGCATAAAATGAATATCTCAAGAGAGATCGAAGGCTCACATGAAAAATGAAGCCGTGACGGCGAGGCCAACGGCGAGCATGAAGAAGGCAAGAGTCGGATACATCGACACCGGCACCGGACTCGAGATCGGTTTAGCTGATTGAGCCTTTTTTGCAAAGGAAGAGAAAATTGAACAAGAATCAGAGATTCATTTTAAATCAAAATGAGATTGAGAGATGAAGAAAGAGAGAGATGGACATTGAAATAATTGCATACCATCTTCTTTGTTTGGATCTAGAAACCGAGCGAGCTCTGGCTATGGATATCTGACGACGGCTGATTCACTTGGAAGACTGTTTGTAGCTTTTACTGGGACGGGGATCTCCGACGAAGCCGCTTTGTAATCCCTGGATATCTCCTAATTTGCCTACTTTGACTCTTTTGTATCAAAGGGTTGCGTTTGAGAACAAAAGTTAAGTACTCAAATTAATCTATACTATTAAATTTGTTTTCTAAAATGTCATTATTAATGGAAAGTAATGTTTTGAACCAAGACCGAAACTGACTCTCAGAGACATTTTTATACACCATTTTTATCAATACTTAAATATCCACACCAAAAAAAAGTGCTGGGAAAATCCAATTATACCTGAGCCATCTCCCCACCATACATCTCTTGGTCCGAATAAAAAAGTTTGGGAAACGGGTTTATCTCTAGCATGACTCAAAAACAACATCTACATTTATGGTAAATTATTTAATTATCACTCAATTAGTATAACTTTATTAATGTAAATTTTTTCTTAAAACTGTTTCCCATTTCCTATAATATACAAAACAATTTGAGAGACATTTTTATAAAAAAAAAAAAAGATTTGATTGTACTCCGCAGTTTGGACCTTCTGATAATAACACTTTGAAACAAAAAAAAATCACTAGTTATACCTCACAAAAAAAAGTCAGTACATTTGAAACAAATAAGAGCCTACTTCTCCTCATCTTTTTCTAGTACGTAGCAGGGTGTAAAATCATTCATTAGCACCCACCGTCTTCACAATCTTCTCCTCTTTCATGAAAATTAAAAAAAAAAGTAAATTAAAGAAGAAGCTCTAATGTATGATCATTTCCTGCGCAAGACCGCCTCATACCGTACTACTCCGTCATCATTCATGAACAATTCCGCAACTTTGGCAACCATTTTCTCAGCTGCGTGTGTCTTCTGTAGGCAGAAGCAAGGACCAATCTATCAGACCTGCGTGTATATAAACGGCAGATTATGAATGAATGAAATATATGCTGCAGCATAATATAAAATTGCAGGTTGAACACGAAAGAAACTAATAAGATGAAGAAATGACAACTCATATCTACCAGGTTATGCATTCAGATATATAGCATCATACACGGAGTATATATATATATATACACACCTACTCTCAAGAAGAGAACCATGCTTGAAAACTTACTTTTCTACCGGCACAATTGTGTCAAAAGCGCCGTGCCTCTAGCTTTTTCCTAGAAAGTATCAGATAGGGAAATCATTGCCCAAAGGCATGCAAAAAACAATGAACACAAGCTTAACAAACACCATCTAGCCTAGCCTTACAACAATAAACAGAGGAAAATTATGTATTGAAAAAAGAGGTGTAGAGTATATATTAAGGTTATATCTTATCCTCACCGACCTGATCGGTATTCAGAAACTTGTGCACCATCCTGTTGGGTTATTTGGTAAAGGCTTTAGAGCCTTGGGCTTTAATCGAAGAAACATGTGGCCTGGGTGAATTTGGTACCAAAAAAAATGGCTTACGTGTCATTTTTGTAAAAGGGTAACACAATTTCTTGCCTTTTGGTACCACAAAAAATCGACAAGAGAATATATATGTTTAATAATGATCATAGTGCGTCTCTCTCTCTCTCTCTTCTCTTGATGTATAGTAAGGAGCATTTAAAAATATCTTTATTTAATAATTACAACCTATAAAACTAACAAGCATATATTTCTTTCACATCCATTTTAAACTTCCCTCTCTAAATCAAATCAAATTTTTACTTTCAACAAAAAAATTAAATGGAATTAATTATGAATATTATTTTCTATTTAATATTGTATTGTCTAACAGAGTGTGTTTTTTCCTATATGTATTCCAATGTCAATTTAATTTAACGGAGTGTCATCTTATTTTTTAAAATTATTTTATTGTGGTTTCTATCTTTTAGTTAATTTTTAATTTTGTTTGTAGATTTTAAAATTAGTTTAATCCGTATATTATTACTCTAATTCTAGTTTTTACTCTCTACCAAATAGTAAAAGGATTTATTTTTGAAAGTTATTTTCTATTTATTTTTATAATGTTTTATGTTGTTTCCGATTTGTATTTTAAAATCAATTTAAATCAATGACTGTCATCTTATTTCTAATTTTTTTTATCTATTTAAAAAAATTTATACGGGTTTGTAGATTTAAACTCAATTTCTGTTAATTCAGTTTAGTTTAAGTTAATTATTTAAAAAAAGAGAAATTTACCTAAATAGGACTAAATCATAATGACTTTCCCAATATAGGACCATATGTTTTTATTTTCCAATGTAGGACCTTTGGTCATTACCAATTAGTCATTATTCAACTAAATGTCTAGCATCACTTAGGCATTATTCTTCTCACTAGTCATTATTAAGTCCTATTTAGGGAATACAAAAGTTTAAGTTCTACATTGGGAAATGACTTATGTTTTAGTCCCATTCATTGCAAATTTCACTTAAAAAAATTGGTTGTAGTAAGTTGGTGGATTGATGTATGTACACCTCCACTTGCACAGTAAGAAAAGTATAAAGTTAATAGAATCTGATGTGGCGCTGATGTGTATGAGAGATGATGTAGTAAAATGTATGAATAGTATGTATACCTCTACCCTTATGGTTGCCCCATCAATGGCCACCGAAGTACGTTTATTAATACCCTCTTGAGTCTCTCAATAAAAAACAACTTTCACACTACTCAGAGAACAACACCAAAGGAAGAGTAAATGAAAAGGTAAAGACTAATAAAAGGATGAACCCCATCCGAAGATCCCCTAAGACTCAGTTGGACGGAAAGTAAAGACTAAAAAGATTATGTGGTATAAGGCGTGACACAGAGGTGGTTATCTATTGTCATGCCGGGCGTGACGGGGGCGTAGAGATGATCAAAAGGACCGCACCGGTCGGACCGGACTATTGTAGTCTTTTAGAAAGACCGGTACGATTTAGTACAGGAATGGTCCGATCGTTTTGATAAAAAAATTGGTCCGAACTACTATAGTTTTTTTATTAAAATAATAGAAAGTTTTAGGGACCGGGTAGTCCAAGACCGGAACCGATCTAGTCATCCCCAAATTTAGACAACCAAATAAGACTACAAGTCCAAGACCGAACCAGTCCCAAGGAATACTTTGGTCCCAGTCTTTCCTGGTCCAATCCCGATCTATCCCGGATGATCTTTTCGGTCCCAATCTCTTTGCTCTTCTCTACGAGGGCATGACCCCGAAGGGGTGACCGCACTCACTGCTGCCCCGCTGCTTTGTTTTCTGCTCCAGCTATATTGCTGATGCACAATTTTTTTTTATGTAGCATTGCATCTAAAAAAATAATCTATAAATACTCCCATCATGACTCAACAATCCCCACCACTATCAAATCCTTCCTTAACCAAAAAACTATTTATTGTAACTTTCTTCTCAATTCTATATTCTCTTCTCTCCAATGAATCCAAACAACCCCAACAACTCCGATTACAATATGTTTTTTCGGTAGTTATCAGTCAGAAATGGATCAAAATATGCCGAACATACCAGGTGATAACCCACCGACGATGCCTATTCCAAACCTAGTAATCTTACTCCATATAATTAATGACTGTTTTTTCTGTGCAAACAAGATGCCAAAACTTGACAACATACTCCATAGAGAAATGGGAGTCGCCATTCTCATGTATAGATAAGTTTGGGCACACTTGAACTATGCAGTCTTTGATTTTGTAATTACTACAAAAAAATTGTTCACATGTCAATAATGCACAAATAAGATGTCTGATATTTTCTTGAAAAAAAAAACAATCAAGACAAGCATTATATGCACCAGCCACCATATAGCCTAGCCTTACATCAATAAATAGAGGAAAATTGTGAATTAAAATAGAGATACTCCATACTTAGTAGAGTTCTGCATTATAAACAAGGAAGAAAGGGCAATCAATGCATGAGATGCATATTAAGAGTCAAAAATACCTTGGTAGCATGTCAAGGGTGGCACTGGTGTAGGCCACCAAAGATCTGCAATCTGATAGACATCCACATTACGGGAGTAAAATTTATGGTCGCGGTCAACCAACTCAAACTCGTGATCCCCACCCTCCATTCTTCTCTGCAAGTTGAGTAGCCATACACGAGATCTGTTTTCTCCCATGCAGAAAGCATTTCCATCATGAAGGATAAACTCCTCTGTGGAATTTAGATCGGTACCCTGAAGCTTGTGCACCAACCTCCACTTCCCCGTGTCATAGTCCTCGAGTTCCCACACGTAATGAAATATTGGCGCCTCAAGAAATGTAGTGTAAGCTACACGAAGTCGACCTTGGAACACGCCAATGCTCTGTCCATTGATGTAAGGATAGCCGGCAAGCTGCAATTTAATGACATGAGAAAGTTTATTCGGATCATTATAAGGATCATACACTAGAACATGATCCTCATTCAGCCAGTGCAACTTCCCTTTATATGGAACAACATTCCCTTTGTCCATGTCTGCTAAATCCACCGGGGATGGAACCATAAGACTCCTCCATTGACCATCTTCGGATGAAAAGAGCACCATCTCCATCAGGGGAACCGGCTCACCTTGAATTGTTTCTCCTTCATGAAATTTAACCTTTCGAATTAGCACCACCATAAATTTAAAGTCATGATTATTGTCTACACATCCTCCATGTTTGTGGAGGCAAAGGGAACAGGGTGCAGGATCACAGAGCAGGCCGATGATATAATCTTTTGAAAGGTGGCCAGGATGAAGGGCTGGAGGAAGATGAACCCATTGCCGGGTTCGCAGATTACACACATAGAAAACTGTTGTCCAATCAGAGCCAGGAGGCTCACTAAAAGAGCATAAAATCAGGTCATCACAAGAAGCATTCACTCCAATTCTGCGATGTGGAAGAAAACTCAAATCAACCCTGTCCACCCGCCGCACGGCGCCACTGGAACTACAGTGAGCAACTGACAGGTAGTCATGTGCCATACTACGAAATCTACGATGACGGTGAAATACGAATAAAAGTCTGTACGGCGGCGATTCCGGATCTTGTGTGGCCGGAGAGAACGGGTCGTGACGGCGGTGATTGAAAACCCTAACGAAATAGGCTGAAGAGATGAGAGAATTCCAGAACTTGCATACCAATTTCAATTGGGCAGCTGTTCGGCACGGGAGCCTAGAAAATATATCAATTAACAAGCTCTCGCACAGGTTATCGAACGAGTAGTAATTTGAGAAACCTTTTATCTTGTTGGCCCCGTGGTTGAGCCTGCGGTGGCGGTGGCGGTGGCGGCAAAGGATTTCGGAATCCAGGCTTAGGCTGCAGTCGCTGCTTTCAGAATCCGAGCAGCGGCTGGGGCGGCCCGAATCCGCCATTGTAATCACTTTGCTAAATTATTGAACTAATATTATTGAACTAATATTATGTGATTTTGCTAAATTTGTACGCTTATCCGGTTATCCCCTATGATTCCAAAATTAACCTCAATCCCCATATGATTCTACTATTTCTAAGCTGATGTTCTTCTAGATAAAATTTCATTCAAAATTTCAAATCATAGGTAAATAACTCTGGTGCTCTCTATAGTTTTGGAAATACACATCAAGTGAAATTTGCACTAAATGGTAGTACTAAAACATAATGATTTTCCTAATGCAGCACTTAAACTTTTTTTCTCTAAATAGGACTTAATAATGACCCAGTGGGAGGAATAATGTCCAGTAATGCTAGACATTTACTTGAATAATGACTAATTAATAATGACCAAAAGTCCTATATTGGGAAATAAAAACATATGGTCTTATATTGGGAAAGTCATTATGTTTTAGTCCAATTTAGATAAATTTCTCTACACATCAATGCCCTCCTCTATTTTTCTTTATTGTTTTTCTTTTTTCTTCTCTTTTTTCATAGTATTTTTTTAAATTTATTTTTTGAAAGTACTTTTTAATATGTTTTAATATCAAAAAATTGTGTTTAAAATAAAAAATCAATGAAATAAAAAGAATTAAAGTACACCTCATTTGTCTAAAATTAAACATTTTCATTTTTTATCGAAAGAGGTCCGTATAAGTTCATTTTTTCTTAATACAAAAATCAATGAAGCATTTTCGTATTCCCACTCTCATTTTTTGTTCATTTTTGGGTTTCTTTTTACCTTTTTTATTTTCTTTGAAAATTAATTTTATGACGTTTCTTTCATTTTAATCAAAATTAAAATAAAAAAGAATAGAAAAGAAAATTAGGAAAAAATATATGTGACAAATACTATTATAGAATATGGAAAATTATGTAATGAAGGAAATATGTTGTGTATCGATCCAAAAAAGGTTATGAGTATATAATTAACTAATTATACAAAAACAAATTTAAGAAATTTTTTAGATAAAAAATGAAAATATTTAGTTTAAGACAAATTAAGTATATGTTAAAAATTTATTTCATTTTTTATTTCAAACACAAACAAATTTAATTTTTGATACATTTAAAAAATGTAGTTTTGGAAAAAAAATTATTATTTCAGACACAAATATTTTTCTTTTCTTCATAAAAAAAGATAAGAAAAAAGGAAAACAATAAAAAAGAAGAGATGAGGGTGGTATCCATTTCTAAACCATAGGGGAAATCGGAGCAAATCATCTAATATTTAAAGGATATTTTTAGTCTAAAAGGGCATTGACATAGAGATATTAGAACCAAATAGGGGCAATGACGTAAATTTTGAAACTATGAGGGGTAACAATGTACACTTACCGAACCATAAGGAGTATTGGTAAAATAAAATCACATATAAATAGCATTCAATCACATATAAATATATTCCATATAAATACACAATATATTGTACAAATATTTGTCTTTTTGAATAATACATTTATGTATTTTATATTGATTGAAGCAATTACAATTCTATAATATTGTTTGGTATAAAAATCATATTATATTCATTTTAATATTAAATGAAATACTAGATATAAATATTTTATATTAAAAACATTTTTATAAACTTGGTATTAAAAACTTCCCATTCGAGTCACCCTCTATCCCATATTGATCACCTACATTTGGGCATGATGCTTGGCCCAAATTTTGCACAAAAGGGCAAAAACTAGCCTCGGAGTTGGCCCAGATCTGACTCCGATCCGTGTTTGTACAAGTCTATTATGGATTTATGGAGTTATTCGTGCTTGTAAATGGGCATGTTTAGTTCTAATAAAAATTTAAGAAAAATGCTAGGGGTACACCAAATGTGTACCTCATTTGTCCCCCACCCCCTCATTGTCCACACAAAAAAGGCAAGAAATTCAAAAAAAAAAAAATAAATAAAAATAAAATAAAAATGGGTGGTGGAGAAGTGGGTGGTGTACAAATGGGGTACCCCAAATGGTGTACCCCTAGCATTCCTCAAAATTTAATTCTAAAGTCAACAAATTTTAGAGGGGTGCAATTGAAAAGGTGGGGGAGGGGTTCGGGTTAGGCTAGGATGAAGGGTTTACCGAGGTTAAGCGAATAAGAACTATTAGTTTTTTTAAATAAAGCACCATAAGACCCTCGAGTCATCCCATAATATTTGGCCCGATGTCATGTGAAATAAGTCATCATTATTATTATTTTAATTATTATTATTATTATTAGTATTATTATTATTATTATATTTACTATTATTATTATTATTATTAGTATTATTATTATTATTATTATTATTATTGTTATTGTTATTGTTGTTGTTGTTGTTGTTGTTAAAGCATGTCTCTTTACCTTAAAAAGTACACCATCCTTAGGGCATTAGAAATGGTGCTAACGCCCAAAAGCGTTAAGTGTGTTTTAAAGCACGAGCAATATTAAACACTACCCCCTTTACTGTCATCCGGGCGTTAAAATGACTACGTTAAAGGTTTAATGCAACGCCTTTCCCTTTCCAAACGGTTCTCCCCCCCCCCAATGGCCATAATTTAGATCGTTGGGCATTAGTTTAAAAACAATTATTTTCAATATTATAAATACCCTTATTTTTAACACAACAAACACATACAACTTATTCCCATTATCTCTATAATTGTTCTAAAATATACTACCTCCGTTCCACAAAACCTTTCTCCTTTCGTTTTTTTTTGCTTTCACAAAACACTTCCACATTCTATTAAAAAACTACTTTTACCCCAACTTTTTCATACCCTACCTATCACATCATACTTTTTCACTAATAACAAAATTATCACATCTTACTTTTTCTCATCATATCATGGGCAAAATTGGAAGTCAAAATGGAAATGATTTTGTGGAACGGAGGGAGTATTATATTTCTTTTAATTATCTCTACAAAATATTTAAAAAATGAGATCATCATTTTATTCAAATCTTATTATATTAATGTAATTTTTTGTTGAGTGTAATTTTTTATTTAATGAGTTATTGTCATTTAAATTCAATTAAATAATGAAATTTTATTGATTTAATCTTAGAAGATGTGTATTCAAAAATATAAAAAAGTTGAGGTTTGAAGCCTTAGTTTGAAGTTCGGGGCTTCAAACCCATTTCCAGTGAAATTTTGGTGTAAGTTAAAGCTGATATGGCAAAGAGAGAAGGTTTGAAGCACTGGTTAGAAGTCTCGGGGCTTCACGACCATTTCTAGTGCTCTTATGACAATCTTTGGTGTCATAGTATGACACCAAAGAGTACGGTCTATTCGAAAATTGATACTCCGTACTACCTTCGTCTTCAAGTATTTGTCTAGTTTTAACTTTTTTTGGTCAATTATTTTCAATATTTGATCTATAGTTAAACAAAATATATATTGTATATTAATTAGATAAAATAATATTTTAAAAATATTTGATATACTAAATCCAATAAAACTATTCTGTAATAATATATAATTTCATTTTTATTTAATTTGAAGTCAAAATTTATCAATTTTAACCAAAAAATCTTAAGTAGACAAATATTCAAGAACGTGAGAGTAATTCGTACATACCAAATCCTCACCCCTTTCGCACCCCACCCCATGCACCCTCCCCAAAAGGCCAAAATACTATAGTAAAACGGAGTCTATTTATTTGGACGGCTAGATGTTGAAAGAGGAAACATTTGGTTATAACACTACAACTCGCGTAACCCCGAACAAATATCCTAGCAAATCGAGTTGCCGCTAATGGTATCCACATGAAAGCAATTTTAAAAATAATTAAATATCACACTAACAATCATTCAAAATAACTAAAAATAAATCATAAATCGATCGAAGTAAAATAAATCCAAACATTTGCGGAAGCCTTAAATCCAATATCTAAAACAGCTTTAATGCTTTGAGCAATAAATAAACAGAATTTTTAAAATAATAAATAAAGAGCTTCATTCACCCACCCGCGTCACATCTCATTGTCCTCTAAGCTGATCATCTGATCCTTGATTTTCACCTGCGTGCAGTCAAAGACAACAAACGTTATACGCTAAAACTGAATATATCTACCGCTAAAACTAATTTAAAGACTAGCATGTATCAATATAGATACACATAATATCTGAATAATCAGGAAATATCATTATTCAACATTATGTTTAATCTTTCCTTTGTTCAGTTCAAATCTTGCATATTCTTACTACACTCAACCTACCTGGATAAAGTTCTTTTTAACTGACTAAAGTTATTAACACTTGAGCAGATCCTTCAAGGCTATGCTCAATAATCCAAAGAAGAGTTCCGATAGGCGAGTAGGAGTCCCTACCAAAAGATCCCTAGGTAGGTCCCGAATTCTCGTACGTACGTTTTTAACTCATGTCCTGTGAGTTATGTGAAGCTCGTCTCACCAGGCCTAAATTCTAAATCATAACTTAATGGTGATTTCAATATTCTCATCAATTTAATTCAGTTCAGAACCTCCTAGATATATTAGGTGGCCTATTTCACAATTTCAGTTCCACAAACAGTTACCACTAATAAGTTCATAACACAATCATATTCAATTAAGCACAAACATCGGCCTATTGAGGAAGGAGGAACGATGTTCCACCAATTACCGTCATGAAATCAAACATTACAATTTATAATATAACGATTAATAATCAAAAAAATCCTTCATCGAGTTCCACGTCGTAATGGTGAGCTTTTTGTTCCATTTCTTTGGTTATTTTACTGGGAGGTACAAGTGGTACAACAACTTAGAACCATAGACTAAAAGGTACCTTATTTTCAATTTGTAACAAAAACTACCATATCTTAAATAACGTTAACAAAAAAACCCTTGTCGAAATTCAGAGAATTCGACCAGTGACTGACTGACTGCACAAGTGACATTTGAGTTGCCTTTCTAGTGTACGTGTAGCATTCCAAATGGCTTTCTAATTAACGAGTAACTTATCATAGACTAGGTTTAGCTTTGTGCCTTCATATGTATACAGTTGTCAGGTATGAAAGACCCAAGGGTGAAAGATAAGGATAGAGTAGATTAGAGAATGAGAGAACATATTGATGAGTTATGATATTGATTGAGTTCTGATCTTCTTCTCCACATGCCGACTGGATACTGGTTAGGGCAGAAGGTAGATTTATGGAAACTATAAGGGCACAAAAAAGATACCAATGCTTAACAACATACTCCTTACATGGGAGTCGTGCCATTTTTCATAATTTGACCAAGTTTGAACACAGTTTAATTAACTCCTTAATCTGCATGTTATGACCTCTTTGGTTTTGAAATTACTAAAAAGCAAACATGTTCAGTTTCCAATCACACACAGATTAGAAGTTTTGGTCTATTTGTTCTTCAAGGATAATACATACATTTTGTATTAAAATAGGGACAATACTTTATAGTAGAGAAGCCAGGTGCATTGCTATAACAAGGAAGAAAAGGCAATGAATGAGATGCAAGTTAAGAGTGAACGACACCTCGGTGGCAGGACAAGGATGACAGCGGCGTAGGCCACCAATGATCATTGACAATCTGATGGACATACGCTTCACATGAGCAGAAATCAAGGCCATGGGGAACCAACACGTACTTGCGATCCTCATCCACCCCTCCACTTTGGCAGTTGCATAGCCATACAGGAGAGCTGTCATCTTTCCAGCACAAAGCATTTCCATCATGGAAGACATATAACATTGAGGAATTTCGACCGGTATTGTTAAGTCTGTGCACCAACCTCCACTTCTCCATTTCGTAGTCCTCGAGCTCCCATACAGAGTGAAGACTAGGGCATTCATTCCATGCAGAGCTTGTTACTACACGAAGCCGATTCTGGAACACACCAAGTCTCAATCGATCAAAATGGTCAAACTCCATTCTCATGACACCAGAAAGTTTTGTGGGATCATTGAAAGGATCATACACTAGAATATGATCCCTATTCAGCCAGTGCAACTTCCCTTTATATGGAACAACATTCCCTTCAAGCGTCCATAGTGGTATTGGCGGGGATGAAACCCTAAGACTCTTCCATTGACCTTCCTCAGATGAAAAGAGCAATACTTGTATGTGGTTAACCTCTTTACCTGAATTTATTATTCTCCTTCTATATATCTGATGACGAATTAGCACCACCATGAATTCAAGTTTATTAATGTCTACACCTCCATTTGTGCCAAGGCAAAGGGAACAGGGTGGAGGATTAAGAAGAAATCCGACCAAATAATACCGTGCAAAGGTGCCAGGAATATTGACTGGAGGAAGATCAACCCATTGCCGGGTTTGCAGATTACACACATAGAAAGGCTTAGGTTCCTCATCAGAAGAGCATAAAATTAGGTCATCACACGAAGCATTCACCGCAATTTTGCTTGGAGGGCGAGGTGGAAGAAAACTCAAATCAAGCTTGTCCAATCGCAGCACGGCGCCGTTGGAACTGCAGCGAGCAACCGGCCCGCAGTCATCTTCAAACCTATAATACATCCGACGGTGGAATACGATTACGAGCGTGTAGGGCGGCGATTCCGGATCTCGCGTTGCCGGAAAGGATGGGTCGTGACGGCGGTGATTGAAAAGCCTAACGAAATGGTCGGAAGAGATGAGAGAATTCCAGCGCTTGCATACCGATTTGAATCGGGCAGCTGCTCGGCAGGGGAGCCTAGATAAAATATCGATCAACAAGCTCTCGCACAGGTTATCCAGGTGGTCGCAACGAACAATATCCTGGGTGAGGCTGCGGCGGCGGCGGCTTTGGTGGCTGCTTTCTGAGTCCATTGTTATCCCCTAACCAACTCTCAGGTTTTCCGGTAGTTTGCTCATCGCAGTTTTTCGATCCACTGCGGAACGGAGGGGAAGTAGTCAGAGCAAGTAGCAGTTCTTTTTGTTTGTTAAATACTCCGCAAGACTTACTCTATATAAATTAAACTAAGTAAGTTTTATAAGTATTTCTTGCATTTAATTATTAATTTTTCAATTGTTTATCTTTTTTTATTTGAATATACTTTCGATTTTTTAAATAACAAATTTTGTAGATTTTAAAGTGTAAACTAGGCACGTATATACATTCATCTCAATATTTACCAAAACCAAAACCGAACCATCTCGAACCATACTGAACCAATATTTCGAAATCGGAACTGCTACGATGTAAAATCTTATACCGAACCAAAATATTAGGTACTGTATCTGTACAAACCAAATACCGTACGATGCTCACCCTTAAAAGATGTGGGGTTTTCTATCTACTTTGATTTGCATTTTGCAACGAGTAATTTTTTTCTTTTTGATAAATTTTTGGTTAAATTTTTGCTACCTTTATCTTGAATACTCCACAGTTACGAGGCAAAATCTCTTTGCTTTTAAATTCATTTTATTTACAAATTGGTATATCAATAAAAAATAAAAATTACATATTAAAAAAGTACTTCCTCTGTCCCATTTTATAACGCTTGTTTCAGTTTACGATGTTTGACTGAAGTTATTTTCAAATCATTTTATATAACAAATGGTATAGAGTTAAAAAATAAAAATTACATATCAAAATACTACATCAAAAGAACTACAAAACTAATAGTGACAACAAAATTTTATTTTATCAAATTGCTAATGAAAATAGAGAAAGAAAGTGAATGAAGTTTGACCCTGTGAATAATGAACAAGCATTATAATTTGGAACAGAGGGAGTATGTCAAAAGTTCTACAAAACGAGAGGTGACAAAAATGTTTTATTTTATCAAATATTCAAGAAACACAAATAAACAAAAAATTTCGAGAGGATGAAGTAGATCTCTACTTTTGATTTTTTTAGTCAAAATTGATAAAGTTTGACTACGAATTAAATAAAAATGATATTAGAGATCCATTCCGTAACCTGGAAAATGCATTTAGGAAAATGAGTTCAGGAAAATGAATTATTTTTCTGAAATCATTTTCCTTTTCTGGTGTTTGGTTGAAAGTATGAAAAGTTTCTTTTCATGTTTGATGCATTTTCCAAAAAAAAAATAAATATTTAAAAAATGAATTATTTTTAAAAATAATCATTGAAATTTCTAAATGATGATTAACAATGCAAAATCAGTAAATTTGAATCTTAAATCATGAATGAGGGGTTTTGGGATGATGAAGAAGATAAAAACTGACATATGAGCCATCATCATCATCATCATCATGTACATTTCAAAATGGCATCATCACATCTTCTATTCCAAAATTTGTATTCCATCAACTTTTTTGGATCTCCAGACTTCCCCTATGCCTACAACACACACATATATATAGATACACTTCTCTGCAATAGAAGAAGAAGAAGACCATGGGAAATCCCTTAGGGTCCGTTTGGTACACAGAATTGATGGAATTGGAATTGAATTGGAATTAAAATTCCATGGGATTCAATTCCATAGAATTGAATTCACCAATTCCAATTCATTTTTTGCACTACCAATTCCAAATCTACATAATTTTCGTGCTACCAAACATGAGAATTGGAATTGAAGTCCTCAATTCCAATTCCATAGTTTGAATTCCGTGTACCAAACGGGGCCTTAAAGTTGGCTCAACCGGTGCTGCAACTCATACAAATAACAAAATTCATTGGTTGGGAATTGGTTTGTTTTGTTGTAACTCGACTAAAGCTGGTTCAGCTGGTCCACCTAGATGTTGGTGTTTTTGTAAATATTAAAAAGTATAAGGTCTTACAGCAAATATATGTTTTGCAAAGAAAATTCATATTTAAAATTTTCTTTTAATTGTAATACAATTCTAACATTCTTTCGCTTTGTATACCCAGTTTTTTAAGACATCCCAAAACTTTTGCAAAATTTAACATTGACCCCAAAGCGTACAAGTACAACACCAAGTATTCATGCTACATACACATGAAAGAAAAATTACCTGGAGCAATTGGTGCGTGGAGAAGACTATTTGGTGGTGGTTTCTTTAAAGGAGACTCATCGTCTACTGCAACCAAAAGTTAACCATTACAAGCACATAACTACCATATCACTCCCTTCATCTCCGGGGGGGGGGGGATGATCCTCCCAAATCAAACTCATTTTTTCCACTTTTATTCATTCATACCTGGGGATTGTGGGGCCATAACAGGATGTTTGGTTCTTGGGAGCTCAGTCCGGGGACAACTAAGGGGTGAGACTTGGACTGGGCCTTGAGAACTCATTGGAGGAGGAGAAGGGACAATGTCTTGCCTAATCATCGGAGGAGGGGTATGTAGGGGACTGAAATCATTAGGTGGAACTTCTGTAGGACTACTTGGTGACACTGATGCTGCAGGACCTCTCAGTCTTTGAGGTGCATTGTCTAACTCTAGAGGCGGCAATGCAGGCGGTGGAGGGCTCACACTTTTCCCTGAGTTAAGCAAAACCAAAACTTCTAAGGGTATGTATGGTTCCCGAACAATGCAAGCAAAACGAGTGAATGAGATACATACATTTTGTATTAAAATAGGGACAATACTTTATAGTAGAGTATTGTAACAAGTGAAGGGCACTTATTCTAACAAGTCTTAAATCCAATAACTAAAACAGCTTTAATACCTTGAGCAATAAATAAATAGAATTTTTAAAATAATAAATAAAGAGCTTCATTCATCCACCGAAGTCACATCTCATTATCCTCCAAGCTGATCATCTGATCCTTGATTTTCATCTGCGTCCAGTCAAAGACAATGAACGCTATACGCTCGGCTGAAAACTGAGTGAGAATATATCTAACGCCAGAACTAATTTAAAGACTAACATGCATCAATATAGAACCACACAATATGAGAATAATAAAAAAAATATCATTATTCAGCATTATATTTAAAAAAAACATACATTTTGTATTAAAATAGAGACAATAATTTATAGTAGAGTAGCCAGGTGCATTAGTATAACAAGGAAGAAAAGGGAATGAATGAGATGCAAGTTAAGAGTGAACGACACCTTGGTGGCAGGACAAGGATGACAGCGGCGTAGGCCACCAATGATCTGCAATCTGATGGACATACACTTCACATAACAAATGGTCAAGGCCGGGGGGAACCAACTCGTACTTGTGATCCTGGCCCACCCCTACACTCTGGAAGTTGAATAGCCACACACGAGAGCCCTCATTTTCCCAGCACAAAGCATTTCCATCATGGAACATAAAGATTATTGGGGAATTTCGACTGGTATTCTCAAGCTCGTGCACCAACCTCCACTTCTCCATTTCGTAGTCCTCAAGCTCCCATACACAATGACATATAGGGTTTTCATTCACTGTAGTGCTTGCTACACGAAGTCGATTTTGGAACACACCAAGGCTCACTCGATCAAAATGGTCAAAATCCATTTCAATGACACGCGAAAGTTTAGTGGGATCATTGTAAGGATCATACACTAGAATATCATTATAATTCAGCCAGTGCAACTTCCCTTTATATGGAACAACATTCCCTTCAACGGCTTCAAGACCGTATAGATTTCTCGACGGGGATGAAACTGTAAGACTCTTCCATTGACCTTCCTCAGATGAAAAGAGCAATACTTGAATGTGGCTAACTCCATTACCTGAATTTATTAAACTTCTTCTTCTTCTATATATCTGATGACGAATTAGCACAACCATAAATTCAAGTTTATTAATGTCTACACCTCCTTTTACGCCAAGGCAAAGGGAACAGGGTGGAGGATTACAAAGAAATCCGACCAAATAATCATTTGCAAAGGGGTAAGGAATATCGACTGGAGGAAGATCAACCCATTGCCGGGTTCGCAGATTGCACACATAGAAAGGCTTGGGTTCCTCATCAGAAGAGCATAAAATTAGGTCATCACACGAAGCATTCACTGCAATTTTGCTTGGCGGGCGAGGTGGAAGAAAACTCAAATCAAGCTTGTCCACTCGCAGCACGGCGCCCCCGGAACTACAGCGAGCAACCGGCCCGCAGTCATCTTCAAACCTATAATATGGTATCGGACGGTGGAATACGAATACGAGCGTGTAGGCCGACGATTCCGGGTCGTGACGGCGGTGATTGAAAAGCCTAACGAAATAGTCGGAAGAGATGAGAGAATTCCAGCGCTTGCATACCGATTTGAATTGGGCAGCTGCTCGGCAGGGGAGCCTAGATAAAATATCGATCAACAAGCTCTCGCACAGGTTATCCAGGCGGTCGCAACGAACAAGATCCCAGATGAGGCTGCGGCTGCGGCGGCGGCGGCTTTGGTGGCTGCTTTCTGAGTCCATTGTTATTCCCTAACCAACTCTCAGGTCTCGGGTAGTTTGCTCATCGCAGTTTTTCTGTCCACTGCGGATCGGAGGTGAAGGAGCCAGAGCACGTAGGTGAGTACAGAATGATTGGTCCAGTTTTGGCAAACGGTATGAGATAACCTCTCTTATACTGGAAAATCACAAACCAAATACTAAATAAATATACAAATATGTTATAAAAATAATAATATTTTTATATTTCTTCATTAAATTATAAATTGATTGAAAAATTGATTCAAGTGTAGATTAATTAAAAATAATCTTTTATTTAAATAATCATTTATTTAAATTTTAATGTTGTGTAGATGAATATTAAAAAAAATTAACAGACATTAGAGATACTATTTTGTTATCATTCGTTCTCTTTTGTTTGTTAAATACGACGTATAAATTAAACTAAGCTTTATAAGTATTTCTTGCATTTAATTATTAATTTTTTAATTGTTTATCTTTCTTTATTTGAATATAAACTTTTGTAGATTTCAAAGTTTAAACTAGATATGTATATACATTCATTTCAATATTTCCCAAAACCAAAACCGAACCATCTCGAACCATACTGAACCAATACTTTGAGATCGGAATCGCTACAATGTAAAATCTTATACCGATGCTCACACTTGAAGAATAGAAAAGAGGTGGGGTTTTCTATGTACTTTGATTTGCAAAAAGTAATTTTTTCTTTTTGAGAATTTTTTGGTTAAATTTTTGCTACCTTCATCTTGAATACTCCACGAGGCAAAATCCCTTTGCTTTTAAAATAATTTAATTTATAAATTGGTATATCAATAAGAAATAAAAATTACATATTAAAAAAGTACGTCAAAAGTTCTACAAAATGAGATGTGACAAGATTATTTTATTTTATCAAATATTCAAAGAAAACACACAAATAAACAAAATATTTTAAGAGGATAAAGTAGATCTCTACTTTTGATTTTTTTAGTCAAAATTGATAAAGTTTGACTACGAATTAAATAAAAATGATATTAGAGGTCCATTTCGAAACTTGGAAAATGCCTTAAGGAAAATGACTTCAGAAAATGAGTTATTTTTCTGAAATCATTTTCCTTTTCTGGTGTTTGATTGGAAGTATGAAAAGTTTCCTTTTCATGTTTGGTGCATTTCCCAGACTAATAAATATTCAAAAAAAAGAATTATTCTTAAAAATAAACATTGAAATTTCTAAATGATCATTGAAATTTGAATCTTAAATCAAGAATCAGGGGTGTTGGGATGGTGAAGAAGAAGATAAAAACTGACATATGAGCCATCATCATCATCATCATGTACATTTCAAAATGGCATCATCACATCGTCTATTCCAAAATTGTATTCCATCAACTTTTTTGGATCTCCACACTTCCCCTATGCCTACAACACATATATAGATACACTTCTCTGCAATAGACGAAGAAGACCATGGGGGAAAAATTGTTCTATTACTGTACAGTGTACGCGTACCCCGTCCCCAAGTAGTGTCAAAAAAAAAGATCAGTTAGACGCGGGCCACAACCTGAACACCACCCCGCGTTCGCTCACGCTCCCGCCCGACAACCGTCTCATTTTCTTCCACAATCTCCGGGCCCTCCTACCCGCCGCCGCCGACCTCCCGTGGGACCCGCATTCGCGGATCCCGTACCTCATGGACGGGCTCAAGAGGTCTGACATGGAATGCCCGCGCTCGAGGTCGACCTCGCAGTCCGAGTTCGACCGGTGGGAACGGGCGTTCAAAGCAACACCCGCCAGCCCGCGGTCTTCTTCCGCACGACCAACAAGCACATTCTCTTGATCGTCGCGGTTTTGGGTCTCCAAATCTTTGGTCTCACTACACACCAACTTCAGGGCCTGAACCACTTCCCCCATGAACGGTCTGTGAGACACCTCCGGTTGCACGCACATCGAGGCAATGGCCGCCACTTTCGTGACGCTATCGACCGGGAAATCGGGTCCGAGCGACGCGTCCACCACGAATTCCAAACCTTCTTTGGTCGTGAGGAACGGTCGGGCCCACGCAACCAAGTTCTCTTGACCGGGCGGGAGTGACATGTCCACCGGTTTCCGCCCGGTCAGGAGCTCAAGAAGGACGACGCCGTAACTGTACACATCACTCTTCACTAAAAGATGCCCAGTCATTGCGTACTCGGGAGCCACATACCTGCAATATCAAACATTAGCTTATTTGAGTTGGTTTCTTGACATGGTATCAGAACCTTTTTGACCAAGAGGTCACAAGTTTGAAATTCACCACCACCCAGTTAAAAAAATGAAGGTTCCCATATGGTTACCAAGCATACATACCCAAAGGTGCCCATAACACGAGTTGAAATGTGTCTATTTTCTTCATCAAACGCAGCACGAGCCAGACCGAAATCCGACACTTTGGGAGTAAAATCATGTTCTAGTAGGATGTTGCTAGACTTGAAGTCTCTGTGTATCACACGTGGGCTCGAGTCTTCGTGCAAATATGCCAGCCCTCTAGCAGCACCTAGTGCTATCTTCACCCGAGCATTCCAGTCGAGTGGGGCCCTTTCTTTGTCAACCCCTGAAATGTTTATAAATTTCAGAACTGAAAAAACTCATGGGGGGTGGGGTAGATGTGAATGTGATCAACCCAAGAGAGTGATTGTACACAATACCATGAAGGTGGGACTCAACACTGCCATTTGGGACAAGTTCATAAACCAAGCAGCGTGCGCGTTCCTCTAGACAGATCCCAATCAGATTGACCACATTCCTATGGTGTAGCCGACCGAGCATCTCAACTTCAGCAAAGAACTCGCGGCCTCCCTGATGGTCGTCCCTCTTAAGAACCTTAACAGCCACTTTTGTCCCATCCTCTAGGGCACCACTGTACACACGGCCAAACCCACCTTCCCCAAGAACTCTTTTTTCGTTGAAGTTATCAGTTACTCTCTCTATTTCAGCTATACTGAACGTTTTGGCCGAACCTGTATAAGCCACAAAGCTTGAACTTAAGGATAGCGAAGGAGAGTTGGGTCCACTTCTTGTGACTGAGGCTGCAACCCCTAAAGAACATTTGACCGTTAGTCTGACTGCAAGAGTTGAAAAAACATTTGATAAGCCGTAGTGGAATGCAAATGTGATGTAATCAGAGACGCTTCTAGTGTAAATTTACACTAAACATGCATCTGACCACATTGCATCGCATTTCATTGCTGTCTTGCCAGACCATACCTAAGTGAGACATCAAATGTTAGTTCATATTGATAATACCCATACCTCAGAATGACGAAAAACAAATATTTCATTATAATATGCATGGAACATGGAATTAATCAATAGTAAGCTCAAGCAGTACTTTTGATGAACTCCAATAGAAAAGACATACTCCCTCCGTCCCAATAAAAAAAAATCTTATGTTACTATTTACAAGGTCAAACTAAATCTTCTTTCATTACATATTTTCATTGATCGTTTGTTAAAATAACATAGTAAAGCCACTTGTTTTGGATAACTTCTGATGTAGTTTTAAAATACATAAAATTATTTTTTAAGCTTTAATATTAAAATAAATTGAAATTGAAAATAACTTCAGTAAAGCATCGCAAAGCGCAAAATCAACTTTGTTTGGGGACGGAGGGAGGACTTGTTTCAGAAAAATGACTTCCCATTTTGAATCCGAACAAAAGTAATTCCCGGTGTGGAACAAAATGAGACTCTTTTTTTCTCCAATAAACAAACAGAGTCTAAGCTCAAGGCACATACTTGGTGATTTTCCAAGGGAAGGAATTGTAGCTGGTGGGGTAGGATCCGATTCGAGCACCCTGTCTCTATGTTTGAACAGAAGCATCCATGCAACGGCGCAGCACAGTATAACTGCACCAGATGCTGAAAGCACTATCACTGCAATGAGGCTTCGATTCGGCCCACCTCTGTGTCGCCTTTTGGTCACATCAACACCAAGAGGATGTATATTCCTCCCATTATCCCCGGAGTATGGGTCACTACTTATAACTCCATCATTTAAAGGTGCAGATGGTGGAGATGGAGGAAGACCTATGCAAGTCATAAGAGTCTACATTCATTATTTTTATGAATGTTTTTAGCTTAAATTGATGGGAAAATACGACCAACGTTTTAATCATCACAAACCTGGATACCGCACATATAATACATCATAATCGCCAAAAAATGAAGCACTTATATTTACATCTTTGTGCCAGAAATTCTGAAATGTCAAGAAAGCTGTTGTGTTATCAAACTGTCCCCCAAGGGGTACCAAATCAATGAAGACAATTGTCTTTTCTGGATACTGGTTTGCAGAGTTTGCTCCCATGATGCGAACTTGGCTTCGATCCATTAGAACTCCACAAGATATTTCATAAGCCAACCTTGAAACTAAAGGGAAGAAAGTGTATAGTGCTACACCAAGTCTCAACCCAATTTGCATCGGCAAGGCACAGTCACAAGAAGATTTAGGTGGGGGTGTTGTGAATGGTTCCATGCATACCAATGAGGAGCAATCTACAAAATAAAACATGTGCATTGGATATTGGTAGTGAAGCATAAAATCAGTGACATCGAAAAATGTGGATAGATATATAAATATATATATACCTTCATTAGGTGGTGGGGGTGGAAGGACAAACGGATGTGGGAACAACATCTTTGGATTCCTTGCTGAAGACCAAGAAGGCGAAATTTTACTGGAAGGAGGAGGCCCTTGAAATTGCAAATATGACAGAAAGGTAAGCAATCAAGACATGACTACTCAAAAACTAAAAATTGTACCGAAATAATACCCGAATTTGATGGTGGGTGAGCAATATGGTGTCTAAGGTTTGACTTTGGATCTGAGCTCGGGCCAAACAAAGGCACTGGAGCAATTGAAGGTGGTGGGTGAGCAATATGGTGTCGAAGGGTAGACTTTGGATCTGAGTTTGAGGCAAACGAAGGCACTGGAGCAATCGAAGGACCTATAAAGATCATTCAAAATGCCAGTTAGTATGACATACTCTGTTAACCATAACTCAACCCCAAAAGAGCTTTCAAAAGGTGAGGATTGCCCAACACTTATTACGGGGTTCATTAATTCCTATTTATCTGATTTGGGACATTATTCCACAC